TTATGTTACCACGTTGTTGTTGGAGAAGAAGGAACAAATATTTATGTATTTATTTATTTATTATTTGTGCATGTTCTATACAGCCATATTATTTTTTTCTCCATAAAGGTCTCTGATTGTCATCACCGCATTCCAACCCGTTCACGGTAGATACCTTTGCTGGAGAAAATTGCCTGGATGTAGTGCCAAAAGTTTGAATCAAGGAAATTCCTATAGTGGATAGTTCATCTTTTTTTGCACACACTCTTGTTGTATACGAAGATCAATCGTAATAGTTAAATAGTTGGTGGTGGATAAGTGTCGTACGGTGGTTATCATATAGCTGCTAAGTTATTACGACACGTAAGGTTTATGTGATGGTGAGTACAACGATGGTTTCCTCGGTGAATGGGGAGGTAAACGCTGGCGGCGGTGGGGGTGGCTTACAACAGCACCAGCAACACCACGACGTTCCTTACAGCCCCCCCAATATCATGGCGCCCGAGTTTCACCCGGCGCACATGCCTCCAGACTGCTCCTACTACCTTCCACCCCCAGAGTCCTTCCAGTACTGTACCCCGGATGGATATCCACATCCCATGTGTCAACTCAACACCGAATATGGTAAGACAACTGCTTGGGTACATATGCATATTTGGTGGCGTAACATTATGGGAATAAATAAGCTTCCTTTCTCGGATGGGTGGGCCATTATTGTGCGATGGTGACGATATGTGTCATAACGAGAAGCTTGCGTTTCTCTGGGGGCTGCACTAGTCACGGTCGATCAGAGAGGTACAGATGGTTCCTCTTGCTAGCATACATAAGTATGTTACGTAAGGGAGAAGATGGCGATTGATAAGCCCGTGAAAATCATAGTTTGGGACAGATAGACAGTTATGCGTGTTATACGACACACAAGACGCAACAGCCTTGCTTGCTGATGGACTGACAAGACACAACTCAAGTCAACAAGACACAAGGAAACGCGGACCGAGTATAAAATAGTATGGATTTTGGATAAAGATCTAAACTATAAGGTCTATTTTTACTCGGGGTTCATTTACTAGGCCATCTCAAGCTCTATTTTCACATTTGAAGCTCTCTCTCTCTACTGTTTACTACTGTATCGTTGACGTAGGCGCGACCTGTTTGGTGGTGAGGTTGCTCCAATTATAGTGGAGTAACTTTCGAATCGGGAATTTTGCATGATTTCCATTTCATTACTGTAATGGAATCTCCTATGCTTTCTCTCTTTCTCTATTCAACAAGTAATTAACGTTACAATTGTTTGCCATCAAAACGGAGTCGTCCTCTATTTATCCCTTGCATTTATCCCGTCCATATGTTTATTGTAAGTTTTATATGTAATAGATTTCCAAAGTTTTGGTGTTCATTACAACACAAAGCGAAGTGTATGTATGATCATAAACTTTGAGAATTCCTCATACTGCTGAAACTCGTGTAGGTTGTAGGTAGGCTTGACGAGGAGGAAAGCGAGGAATTTAGTGTTTCGGTACGTGATGGAAATGGAATCTTTACGACATTCTTGACGACAGTGAATTTTACGGGCATTGAAATTTGCAATATTTTCATCACCCTCCTCGCTTCCACTTGCAAATGGCGTAAAAGCATAAATGCATATGCAGAAGGACTGGCTAAATCCGTGAAATGTGTAGTTTATGTACCGTGGAGTTGTTGGGTCATTGGATGCACAAATGAACAAACGCTGTCCTCTTCAGAATTTTACCGATATATTTTAAAAGCAGTCTTTGTAAGCATGTTTAGAGCACGTTCCTTGTCGTGCTTATATTATTTTTCTTTAAAACAAGTGACACAAAGTAACAAAGCGACTCTGTTCTTGTTTATACTCTTGCTAAATAAATGTTTCAATTTGTAGAGAAAAGTGGCTCAAAAGAATTTGTCAGCATGCAGAAAATAATTACAAACAGTTGTCCTACACCAGATTTCCTTTTTTTTGAAGGGCAACACGAATGAGTGAAGAAAATGATGCTCATCCTATTTAAATAAAGTGAATCTTTCCTGTCTTAGGGAAGCGTTTCATTTGCCGTGGTTGACATATAAGACATGTGCACATGCATAATGCAATGTGTGCGTACAGCTTGACTCGTTTGTACATAATTGAACAGAGTGATGACATTTGGTCGGGTTTCTTTTTATTCCCTTTAAATAAGTGAGTCACTATCACTTAATGTGATGATGTGTGCGAGAATTCTAAATTGATCATTTCGTGCATAATGTGGGAATTTTATGACCGAAATGCGATACCACTTTCAAGAAGAGGATCCGATATCACATTTTTATACCAAGATTATAACACCACGGAGCACAATAATCACATTCATGAGATCTATTAATAGTGAGATTTGATGGCATAACTTGTGAGAAAACGTCTTTATAAGCTGGCTTTGTGCATTAATTTAATTCATCTTTATGCTTAGATTGGTATTTTTACTCGTAATAATCATACTTTTATTTATGCAAAGTATTTTTATTAGTGATAAAGCTATATGAAGTTGTGAAATGGTGGGAGTTTTTCTCCTCTATTTATGACGACATTGTTGTTATCGTCCTATTGACGACAGGCTAGATTGGCAATAAGCATGCGAATAAATGTAACTATTCACCTTCCAATTTTCTGGAAGGGTATCTTTTATTTAGCTTTACCTTCAATTACAAGTTGTTGTGGGTGTTTAATCTCAGTGAAAGCACTGATGACGGGTGATTGGCTACTTTTGTACTCTCTTTGTCCGTATAAACTCTCTGTAAATCCGACTATTTTGTTTAATGAGTTCATCATCTTCTTCTTCTTCTTGTAAAGAAATCTCATCCAAATTGGAACATGGTAGGATTGGATTGTATCCATCCACTATTTTTATGAGGTTGTTGTCGACTCTCTCGAAGATGAAAGACTGTCAAAACTTCATAGTCAAGTCATTATTCTCTCTTAATAAAACGAGTGGGTGGCTTTTATGTCGCATAATACTGAATGCAAATACAAAATCGCCAACACATTTCGTGCAGTATAAGTATGTATGTTATTGGTAGTGCAAAATTGCAGTTTCGCTCTGTCCTAATAATCCATTCATCCGTGTAGGAAGGAAAAGATTTCTATTATTAATCCATCCATCGTCAATGACTGATACGTCAAATCGCAAAATAATAATAACGTCCAACCGACGCCGTAATGTTATTCGAATTTTGTCTCTCTCCCTCCCAAAGTTAAATCATCATTATATGAACATTCGAGAATGAATTGCACGAATATGTATACAGAGGCGAAGAATTGCTGAAATTGAACTCGTTAAAATTTTGCAGTCTGTCTCGAATTCTTGAACTAGTTTTAACAATATTGACTTTGATTTATTATGGATTTATTCCTCGAGGAATTGTATGCAAGTAAGCATTTCCATGTTTGAAAGACTCACTGAGAAAATAAGGCTTGTATAACTTTTTTTCTGCAAATGACAACGACGACAAGTTTGCATTAGCAATTAAACTAACAGTGAAACGAATGACGGTATTGTATGGGAAGTCAGTCATGGTATTATTACTGTCAAACACAACAGGTTTGATGAACTACAATACATGATTATCCGCCTGTTCGTGGTCAATATAATGTGTTAATGTTAATGTTGGTCGCTTTGACTATTTGGTTTCCTAAAGTAATTACTTGTTAATAGTTGGGTCGGTTGGAGGAATGTGTATATATTGTGTTGATTTAGTTAACTTTAAATCTCGGTATTTTCAAGCTTTAAATTGAAGTTCATTGCACCACCACCACCAGCCAGCCAGACATACATAATAATATAATAATATTATAAAGTAGTACATACAACATATGTAGATATTTTCTACAGACTATATTTTGTAGGAAAATGAGTACTATTATGACGACTGCATGCATATTTCGACGGAGCGATGATGATGACATTTTTGAGACCTGCATGCAGTTATTATTGCTACGCAAGTGTGACTTTCAAAATATTTCAGTACACATAATAAATACGAGAGACTTGACGCAGGATGATTTTTTTCCGAGGGGGTTTTATCATGGTATGGCTGCATGACTGAAAATAGTATACGGCTGAATATGGTTTGTAAATTTGCAACACCACCGTTCTTCTCTCTGTTTGTTGGGAAGCTTGACAAAATTGTGTGAGTACAGAGGAAGTGCCGTAAATAAAATAAGTAGAAAAAAGATACGTATTATGTGCATATTGTATGATGACGACTTTAATGGTACGCTCTGCTGAATGGACGAATGTTGGATAATTTCACGGAAGGAAACTATTTATTTCCACCTGCTTTTCGTGTCTGTCCAATTATTACAATTCCTAAATATCTGTATAACGACCACTCTGTCATATCATGTACACACCGGTTAAGTGGTTGTCATTTGAGGGAGAGAGACGCATCTAAAAATGAGGGGATGGTGATCATCTGCTGTGAAAATTAGTTGGACATGAAAGAACAAGTACTGACTGACCATGATCATGCAAGCTTGACAAGAAAACTTTTTATTGCTTCTTGAATTCAATCAATGTCACATATTGCCCCATCCCATATTTGCCATAATATTTCATGTAATAATGCATGATATATTTATATTTACCAATTGAAGTGAAAGCACAGGAAGTTGGGACATGAGTTTGCATGTCAGAGAGGAGGCAAACAAAAGGGGGGTTTGCAACTTCAAAATGTGCAAGGAAGTTTTGACAAGTCTCTTAAAAAAACGAACATAAAACTATACACGCGAGGTTCAAGTGCAATTGTTCACATTTATTTGCTGTTCTTCAGCCGGAAACTTTTTTCGTAATTTCCTCAATGTACGCATTGCTTGGTGTATACTTTGGCTTTATCTTGTGTGAGGATCTACGCTAATTGCTTACAATATGATTGAGCTTGTGCAATAAAAAAGTGTATGCATTTATATTTATTTATTATGAAGGGCTCATCATCATAAAACTAATGAGAATATTTTTTTCCTCTGTCTTTAGGTCCTATGACTGTACCCCTCGTGTCGACCAGCTCGTCGGCGCCGATACCTCTTCCAATGCAAGTACCACAGGGCCATGTGGTGCAACAAATCGTGGACGAGAACGGAACCCTCAGACACGTGATCGTGTCCCAGCAACCCCCACTCATTCCTATGCCTAATTACGTAAGTCCTCTAATACTCTTCTCAATTATTCAAATCGGTCAAAAGGCCAAAATTAATCGAGGTCAGACCGGAATCGAATAATCGGGTTCATTTCACAGTACTACTTGGTTCATTCGTCCATCAAAAACAAGGAAGTAGTACATACACTTGCACGACGTATGTATTATTGATTATCATTAAAGAGTTTATCAGGCTACTTCTTGTATACCTTTCGTGGAATTGTTTGTCTTTAATTTAGCAATTTGTGAGAAATTAAACAATACATTTAAAATAGATTTGAGGGCAATTAGTGAAGTAAATAGTTATTTAGATACGCATATTATACCCAAGGGAGGTCAACACTTTGTCTTTAATCGATTTTGACAAATTTCGGCCTTGAACCGGTCAACTGATTCTTCCTCAATCCTCTCTAGACTCCTTTTCAATTTGGACATGTACACCTTACAAAAACAAACTTTTTGAGTAATTGGCAGCCGAAACTTGTGTCCCCTGCCTGTTGAACTAAAGTAGTATTTAGTAGCAGTGTCGCAGGCAGTGACCATGTTGAAGAAGACCATTTTTGCTCGACTGGTTTTAGTAGGTGGTTGGTATTAGTAATACCAACAAATAACATGAGATTCATGTCATGATTATTTATCATTCTACCAGCGTAATCATTCCATCTCGTTGACTTGGTTGGGTCGATTATGACGACAAAAACTGTACTGTCATTCCCATTGTTATTTTTTGGCAAATTTGCATTCAGGACGTTCATTTCATCTCTCTCTCTCTCTTCTTTCGGGCATTTGTTCAACTCGTCGTTAGAATATACGTATATTTTACATACCTTGAACAATCTGCATACGGAAAATTTGTGTGCAATGCAACATGCAAGTATTTAAAATTATGTACATACATACATGCATAGACTTGTTTAAAATCCGTTTCATTGTTGTCGCCTTCATAATAAAATGCTGGCTCGTCAGTCAGTCACCAATTATTAAGACACTTTATTTCGACTGTACTTCTTCAGTAGTGTAAAATCAGGTTCAAGTTCTTTGCACCATGGTACAGTAGTTGGATTATTAAATGAAAAAATAGGTGTGAACTAGAAATACGTATGTATCTATGCGGATGTCATGTGTATTCTAATGTCTGCTCGTATACTACATCCAATTAAGTACAATCGTGTCAATGAGAATAAATATCCGGCAAGGAAGAAAAACAATGAATGATCGAAATATTAGACGACTGGGAGAGAGAGAGTAAAAAACGGGAAGGAAGCTACTTTACTTTATTAAACGCGTGTTATTACTGCAACCAACACCTTTCCCTCTTCTTCTTGATAATGAATCCTTTTAAGATGTTTTTCTGCATTTATTAAGTTCCCTATACTACCTGTTAGCCAAAGCGTTTTATTAGCAGTAAATATACACGAAAGGCAAGGTGAACCAAGCAGGTTTATTGACCTGCACCTGTGCAAATGCATTCCATCTCTCAAACTCAACTCTTGAGCCAGTGCAAACTATTACCTGCCGCATTATTATGTGATCTCGTCCCTCGACGAGTTTACTACAAGTTTGCAGCTCCTGTTTAATGTTTACCTTAGTGCATGATATGCTAGCTAGGGCTAAACTAAGTAAGCTAAAGCTTGGGGAAATTCCTGATTCCCAAGAGTTGACGCAAAGCATTCAGTGTGAATAACAATTTAATAGCAAGGAGACGACTATGACGACGACGCTTTGATCTTCCTTTCTGTGTGTTAAGAATGGGGTGATGGAATGCAGAGTCAAAAGTCGGTCTCGCATAATGTGTCATGCATTGCATACATGAATTATTTTTTTTACATAGTTTTCTTGCCATTGTTCTTCACTCTGCAGAGTTATTAGGATATCCTACGTAAATTCATTGGTGTGATAAAATTCCATTCCATTCATGAACGAGTTTCATTTTTAGCAGCAGGGGGAAGATGGAAATGAGATGTTTGCATTTAGCAGTGGCGACGACAGTATTGATTTCTTGGCACACCAACCAATCGATAAAATGTGTCCTTAAATAAATTTCATTGTGCTGACGATATCCACACTAATTTTCAGAGAAAGGAAGAGGATGAAGCTTTAGTGGATAAGATTCATAAATAATTTAGCCATGACATAACAACCATTGAATGAATGTGTGTATACGTACATACACAGGCGGTGAGTGGTTATCGGTATGTTGGTTTGGTACACATTATTTCTGGCAAAGAAATAAGAAAGGAACTGTTTACATCCTCTCTGCTGCGATATTATTAAGTGTATATTTTGGTCGTACATATGGCTTGTTTGCGTACATACTCTTGAGTTCAGTCTAATTGGACCGGACATTAATGCAATATGACATTGATAAGATGATGATATTCTTTCAAGGATTTCCCAGTACGTTGCTTTATTACTTGAGCATCACGTAAGATAAGAACGTACACAAGATTCTACGTCCTTATGCTTTACGAAAAGACACCTGCACCATTAATACATTCTTAGTTGAAAAAATGGTATGTATGTGACATTTTCTTAATCAATGAAACCGTTCTTTTCCTATTTATTTACTGGAAGCAGGAGAGTTAAATAAAGGAATGTATGACACATCAAGTGGATTCTGCCATATGTAGGAATTTCCTATTTACATGTACCACTATTTGATAGCGTCAATAAATAACTGAGGTAAGGCGGTTCGTTGTGTCAAGTAGGAGTAAAAGCTGGCAATTTTTTGATTGGCATAGCACAAATTTCTATAACAGTATGATGTGTAGTAGTGTCATGTAATGTTGGCCAAGACCGATAATAACTCCCATCCATACATATGCCACCAACGAACGATATCAACAAAGTTTGTTTGCGTATGCACTATTCTGGTTTCATAAGTTTAGGTTTGTCGATTGAATAAAATGTGTCAATGTTGGCCATCCCATCATATCGTACCACCATCATCATCGGACTACGGCATAATATGCATGCACTGCACTACTCCTAGATATTTCTAGGATAATCAAATGAGAAAAATTACTTGTGATAAAAACCACCGAGTTTAGAGAGGGGGGTTTACTGCCCGTGGTAAATAAGCAGAGCAGTAGTGGCACTACCACCGTGGTAGTGCTCTATTGGTGACTGTTTGTCGTCGTGGTTTATACAGATAGGTTTGTTGTATGCATGGAATATAAATAATATTATTTAGCATTATCGGCATTCTCTGGCCTGGTATCGGGTCGAGTTTGCTCAGTATTATACCAAGAAGTGCACAACGAACCAACGAACGAGCAAAGTTACCTACATTTTACACATTATTGGCTGCATTACCCAGTACTTTTACATACATACTTTACTTTTACATGATAAATTCAATGTTATTTGCTTTACTTACTTCTATCCATCATCTCCATCCACCTCTCTCTCTCTGGAAATAGAATCATTCATCTAATCACTACCCACCTACCTACCAACCTACTTACACACACCACTCTGAAAGTTGCAGTTCTCTGCCCTCCTGTTACAATTTATTGTGGAGAACAATTGTTGTGAATTTTGCCATATGTTTGTCGAGTAGAGGAGTTGCGTAGGTTGGCTAAGAAGTTGGTTCTCTTTACATCATTCTCGTTTCGCATCGTGTGGGGGAGGACAAGAAGATATAACTTTGTATTATTATTAGACCTGCACGTATTCAATCATAATGGAAAATAGTGAGATTCCTGTTCAATTACCAGACACGGAGGCTTCTCCTGTAGACTCGGCTGCTGTGGTTGTGGTAGAAGAGAATTCAGGCCTAGTGGGAGAAATAGACGAGCAGCAGCAGCCCGTTGTTCCGGTTGAGCATGAGGAGAAAGTATGCGTTGATCAAGAAGACAAAGAGTGTGTGGTGGCTGCTAAAGGAGAGAATGAGCGTGGGGGAGAAAGTGGTCGTGATGATGATGATGATGAAAGTGGAAAAGTTGTGGATGATGTTGTGGATACTAAAATAATACCCGATTCGATCCCGACAAGTACGGAAGTAGTGGAAGAAGGGGGAACCGAAGAAGAAGCGGTTATTGAGATTGAGAGGGGTTCATCATCACCACTCGTCCAGCAGTCTTCTGCTTCTTCTTCCCTTCAGGAGGAAGTGAATGAAAACAAAAATAATTTCGAGCCTACCATCACCACCACGAGCTACAGTGGTGAAGAACAAGTTGTTGAGGAACCGGAAGTAGTTATTGTTGACGATACGCTTATTCAGCCTGAGATTCCATACGAGTACATTAATATTCCGGGACCTCGATTTATTTATGCCCCCTTTCCAATTTTGGTTCCTGGACATTTAGTGAGAAAAGAAAACATAGGAAACGCTATTGATTTGTATTAACAAATTGTTCTTATGAATTTATGTGCAGGCTCCAAATAGTCAAGGCCAACAGTTCTATCCGGCAGGACCTTCAGGGTATCCGAATTTTACACCAATGCAACAAGTTCCCTGCCCCGTCCCTTCGCCCCATCAAGGTAATTACGACACATTTATGGACTTGTGCGCTTTCTCTTAAATATTACCGTGAAATAATAAAACTTGTTATCATTATAGGTCCGCCCGGATCTAATAATGGGGGAGGTTTAGCCACCGGCTACTCAATTCCAGCCCATGCTCAGAAGGACGAGCGAACACAACGCCAATTTATGAGGATAAGAAGGAAATTAGAGCAAAAGCAGCAAGCCCCTGTTCCTTCCTACAACAATGGAGCCAGTTACAACAACCACCCTGCTTCTATACGCAAAGGTTCGTGTTCATTACGCATACATATGTACACATATTTAGTGTAAGACTAACTTTTATTTTAACACGTGAATTGAATTTCTGTCCTGTAGAACCTGCGTATACGACGAGCAATGGGACGCGAAAGGTGACCAACGGAGTGTCGAAATCTCCAGCCAACAGTGGGATGGAGGAGGACGGAAGCGTTGGTAGCACTGGAAGCGTTACAGACTCCACCGGTACGCAAGATGAAGAGGAGGAGAACCGCACTCTCGCTATGACTGAAATGTAAGTATGAAAAGAAGATATCAGCTATTTATGGTCATGTACATATATTCAAAAATAAAATAAATGTAACAAAATCTTTATATTATTATTTTATTTCAGGCTTTCTTCCATCATTCCACCAACTGTAAGAGAAATAATAATAATACGATTTCTGTTTTACGTACGTGTGGTATGCTAGATTGTACGTGAAATTTCTTTTCTTTCCTTGTCAAATAGGTGACTGAAGTGACTGCACGTAGTGCTTATGTGCAGTGGTCACATCCAGACAGAATATCCGAATCTGGAGACAACAAGTTTCCAGACTTTGATGTCTCGGACAACGATTTCCGGTAAATAATTTAATGAATGTGTTATGTATGTTCATGTTGTGTCAAAGCAGGATTTGAACTAATTTACTAATTTAATCTATCTTTACTAGCTATGAAGTTTTCATCAACGAAAAAAGTCGAGATTCAAGATTTCGATCTATTTTTGTTGGCTCATCGCTTTCCTGCAGGTAATTTACTTTGACCGACAATTTAATAGTACTGGTGTGCATGCAAGATTTCATCGATTTGTCCCAAATATATACATCCACATAAAATATACTTTATACAATTATTTTTCCTTTCAGAGTTAAAGACTTGAAACCTGGTAAGTATAAAGTTTATACAGTAACGTGATACACGTATATGGTAGATATAAGGATTATGTGCTAATTATTCTTGACATTTGTCCCAGGATCCGTCTATGCAATTACATACTGCTCTATGCTCGGAGACGTAAAGGGCAATACGTGCAACGCAACAAACTTTTCCACCCTCGCTGCCGAACCTGATCCTCCAGGTAAGTTTATTTATAAGAAATGTACAATTTTATAAGAAATTAGTTTTTGTACAAGATGAATTTTGTGTAGGTTGCCCTCGGCCAGTATCAAGAAGTCGATCTAGCATGATGGTAAGAGAAGAAATATGGACATTCAATTATACGTTGTTAAATGAAACTCGAGAAATTTGTGACGTAGTTTTTACTTTCATTGGTACACACATGGTAACCTAATTGGTGTCTCATCTTGCTTTACAGCTAAAGTGGAATCCTCCAATCAGCGACAACGGTTCAAAACTCAGCCATTACATTCTCGAGTATGACGAAGGAAAAGGTGGCAGCCACTTTGTAGAAGCTTATCGAGGAAAGAATAAACAGTGCACAGTCGCTAAACTTCAACCATGTATGTAAAAAAGATGGTTGTTACTTTTATAGTATTTGCTTGGGGTGCTTGTCCATGTGTCCGGGTAAGTGAGACACTGCAATGTGTTTTCATTGTGTTACCGCCCTCATAATTTCAAATTTCAATCACAACTACAGAGTAGTTTGCTCGTGCACGTGTGGCAGGTAGGAAGTGCACAGCAGGTGATAGTAAACAATGGATCAAGTCCCTAGAAATCCTTTGTCTACTATTACGAACACAGTTAGTACACCCAAGTCAACACCTTTAGTTGGTAAAAAGAGACTTGGACCCAAATCCAAGACAGAAGCAGTGGTTGAAAAACTTATAAAACTTGAAAGCAGTGAGAAAAGAAACCTAAGAATAGCTAAAGAAGTACTAGAACCTGATTTATATAAGTTCAACGTTCGTGGAAGCTATAAGGGACAGGTATGGTTAGTGAAAACGGATCCAGACGATCTCCAATTAAAAGTGACAACTTTGAATGGGTACGATTCAATATGTAAAACGTATAAAAAAATTAACGACGGATCGGAAGACTTCTCATATAATAAACCTAACTGTCCTGAAAGATTTTCATTATTATTTGAAATCGAATTTATTGAGTTAGTTGGGTGTGGTGGCGTGCATGCAGCAAGTAATGCGGCTGAGGCTTGGTCCTTTTTAGTGTCCAGATTAATTAAATATCAATATAGAGTGAACAAAGATGAACCTAAAAAATATCTCCCATTTTTCAAAAAAAGTAAAAATGATCAAACTTTTTACCATGCACAACATTTTGGATGTGAGGAGAAAGTGATTGAATTGTTAGTGAAACTACGTGAGACGGACATATTTACAATCGAATTTAAAAAACTTCATGAAGTATTTGCCAATCTTAATATTAAGTTCCATTTTTATCAAACAGTTAAGTGCACACGAGAATCTCTGCAAAATTTGATAACCCGACCTACCCCCACGTCTACAAATCCTAAAATAAAGGAAAGACCAAACGCCAGACCGGAAAAATATAAATGCCACTTGTGTGCAACAAAGTTTGAACTAAGTCAAAATCTAAATGCCCATTTACGCAATATACATGAATCGGAACCAGTCAAGTGTTCCCATTGTACATATAAATGTTATTCTACCTTAATTTTAAAACGACACATGGATAAGCACTCAAAGCAAATCATATGTGTAATATGCCAAAGACCCTTCAGTGCCAAACATAACCTAACCAAGCATACCAAAAAATGCCATTCTAAATCACAATAACCCCATTTTCTAGCTTATTCCTACCAATTCCGACTCGCAGCAGGTATAAAATCAGTTTGTCTAGCACTTTACCGCATTAAAAAAATATTATAATTAATTATGTATCCTTGTTTAATTTTATAGTGAACGACATTGGCAAAAGGTACGAGAGAACAAGTCATAAAATTTGTGTCACGTTATGCAATTTATTCGCTCATTCATATAATTATAATTCTATTGTTATTGTAGCCGATACACAAGTGTTGTAAGTGCAATGACTGCTGGAAGTCCTCCCACACAACCCGCTCCTCCCACCATCAGTGAAGCTGGAGTTAAGTATTTGCGATTGGAATGGAAGGGCCGAGATACAGATGATGAGTATACCCTTCAAATGGAAGACCCATCATCAGGTCACGGTTTCATGCCTGTGTACAACGGCAGTGCTCCCAACTACTTGTGCATTGGACTCAAAAGGAATTTCCAGTACAAGTTTAGAGTGAGTATAATACATACATATAGTTTATTATTATTTTATTCCAAATTATTATTTGACAAGGTTGAACTCGTCATTAAATTTCAATTAAAACAATTCCTAATTATTTATTTTTAGTTGAGGGCGCAAAATGAAGAAGGACATTCCAAGTGGTCAGGTTAGTATTATGATTATATGCATAAACTTATTCCCCATGAAGTGACGTGAAGTTGTAACACGAAAATATTTACAATGATGGGTAATTGTGATTTCAGACGAAGTCGTACTCTGCACTCTTCCCGACCGCCCATGCCCACCTCACAAACCGCAACTTAAAGGCCGTGTGAATGCATACGGGTTTAAAGTACGATGGGATCCCCCAAGTGACACCGGCGGCATGCCAATTTCAGCATTTGCGCTCCAAATTGACCAAGGGAATGGTTACGAAGAGATTTATCGTGGTACGGAAGGCGAATGCACGGTGGACAGATTGTCTCCTGGTCAGTCGTATGCCCTCAGAGTTATTACCATCGGTCCTGGAGGGGAGAGTGATCCAAGCGAGTCCTGTGTCATCACGACAGGTAAACAAATTTTTAATGAAAATTACCGCTTTATTATATATAAAAAATTAATTAATTAAAAATTAATTAATTACGACAGAGCCCGTCTGTCCTGGAAAAAGTCACATTCCACGCGTTATTGGGAAACCAAAGTCCAATTCCGTCCACCTCAAGTGGAGTGAGTAAAAATTTTAATAAGAATATTCCAAACTAGAGTTAATATTGTTGCTGATTGTTAATGCATGACACATTTAAATTGATTTAGGTCCTCCAGACTGGACGGGAGGCAGTCCTATCAACGGATTTGAAGGTAACTCAAAAAATAAATATTATATTTACATTTGACGTGTATAAATATTTACTTTATTTTAAAAAAAAAACAGTTGGATGCACTACACCTGACAATCAAACCCAGGAAGCCTACCGTGGCAAGGATTGTGAGTGTATTGTGAACCGTCTCCTACCCGGAAGGGCTTATCTATTCCAAATCAGAGCTTTCAATCGCATTGGTGCTGGTGACTGGTCGGACCCACTCGAAATTATCAGCGGAGCGGGGTCGCCAGACGCTCCTTCTGCCCCAAAAGTGGTCACCAAAACTTCTCATATTGTCCTAATCTCTTGGACTGAGCCATTGAACAATGGGTCTGCCGTAATGGAGTATCGGGTTCAAATGGCTTCCCCCACTCCAACACTACCGCCAACAACTCCTCCAACTCCAGAGCATTGCAGTAGTAGTACCGAAGAGGGAAAGAAGACGCCAGTAGAAGAAGTCAAGTCTGAAACCAAGGATGCGCCTCTTCAACAACTTTCAAGCTTTACTCAAGTCTATGTCGGCCCGTCACTTTACTGTGAGTAACGTTCAGTAATTTGACAAGATTCGATTTGTTAAATACTAAACAAAACAAAAATTACTCTGTATAAACTTCTCTACACAAGTATATGATTTATATCCCTCCATATCTCCTCTAATACTGAGTGGCGTATATTACAGGTGAACTCAAAGGACTTCAACCAGCATCGATCTATCTATTTAGAATTCAGGTATGTTGCAATTAATGTGCTACTGTATTGTTACTCACAATCATTATTGCATGAATTTATTAAGCAAAAACTAAGTACCAATTTACTTTTGTCTTATCAGGCGATCAATGGTGCTGGAAGTAGTGATTGGTCTCCTGTTGTGACGCATGAGATGCCTGCCTCATCCCCCAATGGTGTACTGGGTGTAGAAGCTGTTGCAACTTGTAGTTCAATTTCCTTGACTTGGAAAATTCCTTTGGACAACGGGTCCGAAATAACCAAGTATAACGTGATGATGGGAGAAACTCTTCTAGTCTCCAATTCTAATTCTTGGGTTATAGACAACCTAATGCCAGATACTCAACACAAGTATGTAGTATTGTCGTAGTATCTGTTTAATTTGACGCTAGCACAATAAATTTAATTTATGACTTTTCCATTCTTTTCTAAAGGATCCGTATACAAGCCGTAAACAGTGTGGGTAAGATGACTACTATATACTTCATAAAAATCAACAATCATGTGGAAGTAAAATTCAATTTGGATGCTAAATTGTATCATTATCATTACTAGGTCCTGGTCCCTTTTCCTCCACGCTCAAAGTGTGGACAAAGCCACTGGCACCCCCACCTCCAAAACTTGAGTGCGTTTGCGTGGCTCCAAATTGGATGAAACTCAAGTGGACAGAGATTTCTAGCAAGAATATCGAGTACCTGGTTCAAATGATTAATCCCTACAAGGTAAGTCCAGAACATGTTGTAATACTATTACCCTATCATTACCACTACAAATCTGTAATACTATTACCCTCAATTTATTAAGGATGAGTTTGAAGTCGTGTATCGTGGAACTGCTTCGAATGCCAAAGTTACCCGATTGAATGAAGACACGGAGTACCTTCTTAGGATTTGCGCACTGAATGGAGCCGGCCAAGGTCCATTTTCTGATCTGTACAAGTTCTCTACATCAAAAGCACCTCCATCCCAAGTGAAAGGTACAAATGATTTGTTTGCAACCAAATTATTTTGATGGTGAGATGTGAAGAAAATGTAATAAATCTGTTTGATTTTCTATTTATTAGGCTGTAAAATCGAACTTCTTAACGACTCGAGTACCTACAGATTTGAGTGGTTCGAAGTTACCTGTCTTGACACGATTGAGTACCAATTCCAAGTGGCGAGTAAAAAGAGAGACATGGATTTTAAGACGGTGAGTCGTCCTGTCGAAACTACTCTCGTATCCACTGAAATTAGATTGCAAGAGATTTATTCTCATTTTCTGATTTATTTTGTAGATGTACAAGGGTACAGAACGGAGAGTGGAACTAAATCACAACCAACTGGAGAAAGGGGTTGAGTACGCTTGCAGGTACAGTATAACCATTGCATAAATAAATTCAGTAGTAGGAACATGCATTATTTATTAGTATTCAATTTATTTTTATTTTGCGGTGGTGTTGCAGGGTTTGTGCAATTCGAGTTTCTGGTGATGGAGCTGCACTTGTGGGTCCTTACTCGAACAATGTGAATTTCCACATCCCTAGTTCCTCTGACGAAGAAGACCTTGTCATCTCATCCAAATCCCATTCCGCATCTTCCAAGTCTCAAGCTAGAGCGACAAACACCTTTTGGATGGTCAGCTTAACAGTAGAATTTTAATATTGCAGATATTTTTATATAGTTGCAATGGGCAAGTTTTGTAATATGTGTTTTTATTTTATTACAGACCATGGAGGAAAAAATGTCTAAAATCAGCTACGAGAGCCGAGTAGGAATTGTGGCAGGTAACAAAATGGATTTGTTTTTTTTTATTTTCGTAGATTTTTATTTGATGTAAATAATTTTAATAATAATAATTTCCTTTTTGCAGTATTCGCCCTCATAATTTTAGCATTCGTCATTTCCTTAATTACGCACCACGTCGTATCGTAGGACATGTATTTCCTTGGATGAGAGATTTCTTACAAGAAAACAAAATGTCAATCCAACTTTCGGAAAAGTTGGCCGTGATTTTCCAATACTTGAACGTTAAAATTATTATAATGACCTCGGTTTCCTCCACTGTTTGTTCCTCCTTTGTATGAAATACACAACTCGTATATATATATAAACTCAACTTTATCTCCAATCTCCATCTTGTTCATTATCGTTCCAGAACCTACGTAAAGTATATTACTATTATATCTTATTGTATATTTAGCGTAAGCAGTGCTGTTGCAAAATCTAGTACTAATCTAATCAGCTATTTATAACCAATGGAAATATTACGATACGTGTATCAGGTCGCGTTGTATCCTCGTCTTATCGACTGTTATAAATTTGTTACAATTAACAAAATCTATATATTTTTAAAGGTAGCTGACTCAATTTTAACCAACTCCTCTCAACCAACCACATCATCACTACCGATATACGTCATGTCTGCCTCCACAACCAACGATAAAATTGTGTAATCTATATATTTATTATAGATATATAAATAACCGCCTCCTAAATATGCTAGTTCTAGCTATGACACCATAATCTGACTATAGAATTTGGATAATTTTAAAAATTACAAAAAAGATGCCAAAGCATGCGTGTCTTTTAATCCACGGTGTACTACTACAACTAAAAAACTCGATTGTGATATAAAAATGAATTTCATATATAAATTATAACTTTAAATTGTTCTAAGTAGTGGCTGCTGCTGATAAAGTTGGTAAACTTTGTGTACTGTGAACTGTGATGCAATCTTTTGCACTGACCGATACTACTCGACATTTCAATTCAATCGTTTTCTGCTGTTTTTTTAAGTGAAAGGATTTTATTAATAGCTCAACCAGGTTCAGTTTCGTTATATTGTTAAAATAACGCATAAAAGTTAATTTAAATCTCTGACAATCAATTATGCAATTAACAACTGTGTACGCTACTAAAAAAAGTCATACTTTTAGCCAATCAGATATTTCAATCTACATATGCATGCATACACACTTTTTTGCTACATTCATGCAACTTGGTGCTATTATGTTAGATACACAATTTACTGCTTAATTGTAATTTTTTATGTATCACAATATTAGAGTGTCACTTGCTTGTGATAAAAAATTATCATCATCACATATGTGCGAACTAACTCTAAATAAATAGGTTGGAATAAATTGTTTTCAAAATTCACAATGCAAGTAATGCTGTACTAGAGTTAAAATCATGATTATGCAAACCTGGAATGTACTTATTATTATTATTATTAACTTGAATCAGTTAACTTTTAGAGAACATATTATCCTTATGAAAACACTACTTGTGATTCCGTTCATTCTTGCCTTATCAATTTACTTGGATGATCACGCCCAGAGTAGTGTTAACATTGCTATTAGCTTATCCATAAGACCTACATATGTATCAATCTTTGCTTAAACTTGTAACCTATTTATAATATAACATTCTTGGATAAAAAATATATCTTATTGTCTGGTTCTTCCTTAAATGAATGAGTCTGTAAAACTATTCTATCTCATGTAAACTGACTTGAACTATTGCTAATGAATCACCTTAGTACTAACTATGCATACGTAACAATATAGAACAGCCTATATAATTTATCAGCAAATTAATCTTATATGAAAAATCGATGTACAACAAATTATCGTATATTTTGAAATGATATAATGACAAATGAATCTTTAACAAAAATTCCTGATTTAAAAGAAACTGTTTTAGCTTAGCTATGAAAATTTGAATGTGTCAAAGGGCCAAACATATTTACATGTTTTGGAGTTAGTCATATTAACGTTATGTTTTTTTAATTAATTAATATCATTAATTAACATAGCTAGTTGGTTAAATAGTGATACATATATATATATATAATTTTGATGAATTATGTATTGAAGGAAAGTGCAATCTGTAAACTTATTAACCAATCAAGGCCTCTTCTCACTCATCGATTACTCAAACATATTTCTGTCGGAATCTTCGAAATTGTCGCATTTTATTTTAACACCACGGTCAACTGTAACGTATTTAGAGCAGTAACACACATATACACACAAAATATGTAAAAATGGATCGCTCGCTATCCATGAATTATCGTAGTTATCGTATTCAGTGGCAGGCAGGAGAGGAGATTTATTAACGTGTCTATTTTTAAAACCGATTGGAAGATTGAAAGTGAATGATTTTTGCCAATTTAAAACTAATCTGATAATGACTAAGAAGGTACTAACTTATCTAATCTTACAATCTAATCTGAAATTAAGTGGATCCACATATATCTAATTATTATTAATGCTAGGAAATATGGGTTAACTAACATTTATTATTTACATTTAATTTACGCAATTCTTATTAATCACGAATTCTTAACATTCTTAAAAAACATTTTTAAAAACTCCTCACAGGAACAAAAAAAATAAGATGAGAGAAGGACTGGTCCAAAAGTCTTTTAACATTATATGTAGCTTTCATTTCAATTTTGAGAATCAAAATATTATTGTATACTTTCTCTACAAAATGAAAAGAACTGGTAAAACTTTGTGCAGTTAATACGATTATTATTAATACTAAATATACATACCTAGTTAGACTTAATTATATAGCCAAGCTCATACACATACACACAATTTGATGAGACTTTCTTGCGTCTGAATATTTGATGATGATGTTGATCTGTTATTAAAGGGAACGCTCATGAAAAAAAATATATTGAAATACCGGCCGTAAATTAAAAAAGGGTGTCATGAATATTATTTCATATTTTATTTAATTACGTTATTACCTCTTTTTTCATACATACAACAATTACTTAGCTATTATGTTTATATGTTATGAGAACGTGTAAGTAGGTAGGTGGAAAACACCAGCTCTTTGCGTGAAGCTGCGTGCTGTGCTATTATGTAACAATTATATTTTAAGGAAACTAAAGAAGACTATCATTTCATCCATTTATACATACATTACATGAAACGGCTATTATACTGTACTCCACATCCATTACAACATGAATTTATTATTATTATTATTACTGATCATCACTTGTTTTGATATGAAAAAAGCATGTTTATATATTATTACTCTTAAATATTATTATATTATATTCGTAAATATTTAGTATTGGAGGGAGGGAGGACGGAGATGAGATAGATGATCGCACACTTACATACATTTGTAATAGTAGGAGAAAGTTTGTGTCGGTATGGTTGAATTAAAAATCGATGCAATTTAAGACATGTAAATAGTGAGTCCAAGTTAAGAGTATGTAGAGCATGATGCCACTCTATTATTTTATGCATGGTATACAACAGAGAGTACAGAAGAAAAAAATGAGAAACTTATAAAAAAAGAAGCGTTAATAATACGTACGTTGTACTAAAAAAGAGGAAGAAAGAAAGCAGCCGTGATTGTACATAGCTATTAATCTTTAAATTAAAGTAATTTAACGCTGTACTTGTACTGATGGAAGAAAAGCTGCCAGGTTTACGAAGAGAAAGTGGAAAATATTACGCCACCACCAGGAAACGCCCGAGTTTTGGTGGTATTCACATTTTCCGTTGATGAAATGGGGGAGAAAGTAAAGAAGAAGATGATGATGCGTATGTGTGTGTAACTTACGACTTGATAATGATGATATGATTTATTACATACCTATTATTATTATTATCATTATTATGATTATAGATAAACAGATATGCTATTGAAAACTTAAAAAAATATTAAAACCAAATAAAGCTATGAAATGAAAAGTTGACAGTTTTTGCGCAAATATTATTTCATTTTATTTCATCAATCACTTGTATATTATTACATTTTCTTTTGCAATGTTGGAAATCATGCAATTCAGATTTATTTAGTTTTAAGAACAAACAGGATATAAAGAGGGATATTTTTACGGATGAAACAATCGTGGCGAGCTATAAATCTGAATTTAGTTGGTATAAATAAAGGTGCATTTAATGCTTACAATTCTGAAACTGGTGGTGGTATATAATAATTTTTAACAATTTTCGTATTTTGTTTTGACAGTCATGCATTTATACATGCATATGCTGAACTTCGTAAGCTTGGAAGCTATATCAGAAATTGATAGCTTGTTTTATTAAAATTGTTGTTTTGCTGAAAAACTAAGGTTAAATCTTCGAAACGATGGATGAATGTAAAGAAGAGAGTTGAGAGGTCCACTTGTTTAGAGCAGAATATCTGGAAAAGTCGGACCCAGACTCGTGTTTCAGTTCAAGGACAAGATTCACTTGATCAATTTTTCCTCGTACCGTACTGAAAATTCAAAAATCAAATTGCAAATTAGTTGATGTTAATTATTGATTACTTGACTTGCTATTAATGCTTACTTGTCTAATATGCAGGAAACCAACAACGCTTCGACTTCACTAGCATCAATGTTTAACTCTTTTGAAATGAACGGGATGTGAATCCGTGTGTAAGGTTTAATCAACTTTATGAGCACTTGGGTACGAATATTCCTCAATAGATCTGAAATTAATACAGTCGAAATTAGCAAGCACGAGATACAATAGAGACATATTAATATGCAGCATAGAATAATTAAGTTACCTTCAATGTGTTCTCTGATGAAGGGATCGTCCATAATATTAGACCGATTTTGTTTTAATATTTTTTCAAACTCGGTAATATCATTGTTTTGATAGGCAGAAACCAAGTTAGTCATAGCCAAAATATCCGGGTCGTTTTTGTAAGGCTTGGCTTCTTGGGAGTCGAACGGATTTATTCCAGATTTCATTAACCTAGAAAGTCAAACGTTGTTGAGGCTTTAAAATTCAACAAATGAACACCACTTAAATATTTGTTCAAGAACTATTCTTACATATTTGCTAAGACAAGATACTTAAGACACGTGGTTCTGCGGGGATTTCCAGATTCATCATAATTTTTAAACGCTTCAAAGAAATCAGTGTGAGCCTTCTCGAACTCGCCTTCACGCAAGTGCATTTTTCCTCCGCATTCTAATAGTGAGTAACGAGTGATATGGTAATTTAATTATTGTAATTAATGAATTCGAGCACTAACTCGTTTAATTAATTACTTACCTCGGATAACCCCCATAATAAGAGGATGTGGAATGGCAGACTTGATATGAAGCGATTGTTCATACAATGCTTTTAACTTTTTATTGTTTTTCTGAGCTGTGTACATTTGAATTTCCAAAGCATAAATTTCCAAAAGTTGAGTGCCTTTCTTCAAATCATCTTCACCCTCATCAGTCTGAAACGTTAGAGGAAAAATTTTAGTAAACATAAGTATTAAAATAGACAAAATTACAAGCGTCTAAAAAATTAAATTGTGCAAATCTAACCAAACCGACCTGACAAGATTGGTGTAATTGTTTCAGAATTCGTGCCAATTTCTGATAATCTCCTCGATCATAGTACAATTTTCCTAGTTTTGTATTCGTCTTAAACCATAGCCTGTCATTCTTTGCGTCCTTCAACGCATCCAAAGTCGTCTCATAAAAGTTTTGAAGCAGTTCCATCTACACAATTCGTAAAGTTAAGTCCAGACATGATCAAAGTATAAATATTACATAATTAAAATTTCTGTTACGTTTCTAGAATTTGAGATGTAATCAAGAATTGAATTGATGGATTTCTCGCTATGATTCCGAGTAACCGCCGTTTTGATGTAGGTCAACAGTTGCTTGTATCGGTTCATCATCTCGGCATAATTTGTCTATAAAGGCGAAAATAATACAACATAACTTAAGATTAAAGCAGTATCAAACGAAATTTAGAATTCTAAAGAAGTTATTGTCTACTTACAACTCTAAAATTGATTTTTATCATCTGTTTCAAAGCTTTAAATCCCCATTCCCCCTTTTCACTATGTTCTAGGTCCAAAACTCGTTGAAACGAGTTCAGAGCAGCCTTGGGATCCTCTTCCTTTAACGCTTTCGAATTATAATATTGATTCTCAAGGTCTACATCTGGCTCGGAGTTGCTGTCCTCGGAGTATTCCTTCAAGATTAAATTGTTGCTAATTAGAAAGCCACAATTTAAATTTGTTATTAGCAATTATTAAGCACTCACCAATCCATAATCTTCCTCATCGTCCATGAAATCATCCACGTCCGACATCTTCGACTATAAACTATCACTTAATTACTTACGTTAACCAAATTAATTAACACCAAAACAATAACAAAATCCGTATGATCGACTATAAAAGCCCTGGCTCAAAACAATGACAGACCGGGCTGGGTTTGACGGACGGCAATTTTAATCACACCCACATATCAAACGCCACTGGTGGGAGATGGATTCGTAAAAGATAGAAAATTACTTGTTAGCTAATTATCACTAAAGTTGATAAGCCTTCAGATAAGTAAGTAATCAGATATTTAAGTTTTGAGTTGGACTTGCTGTGTTGGTGAGTGAGTTGAATGCCTTTGCTGGTTGGCGCAGATTTCAGCCCGGGATTTCTCACGTCCGGCGGTTCTTCTGCTGCTACTGCTCTTGCTGCATTGTTTTGGAAAATTGACCTCGTCGTTTTTCGTCACGTGTCAGGTGAGGACATTGTCCTGTCGCAGGTCAACATATTTCGGACGGGCAAGGTGTGATGACGAGGGCAAGCTTTGACGGAATGATAACAGCAGCCAGACAGTAGATAAGGTTAGTAGTTTTGTTAAGGTGCAGTTAAATTTGTCATATTTTGATGTTTCCTGAACTGACAATGTCAGTCTGACATTAATTTTTTCAGTTTTCCATTTCATCCCCCTCCCCCCTCAAATTACTAACTGTATCAACATGTCAACTCCGACAACCCCCAAGACCACCAATTCATCTATTTCTAACGGAACAAAGAGATGTCATTCCCCCTTCTTTCCTAATGAGGATATTTCCAACTTGGAGAATGATAGACTGGAGAAAGAAGAAGGAGTGGTGTCACCGTCGCCGTCGTCATCTTCAGTAAGCAGCAGCAGCTGTACAAACAGCCCAAAAATGTTCCCCATCTTTCAAAAGAACTATCGGCCAAAGGAGACCAATTTGTTGAGATCTGTGAAACTCGAGGTGGAGAAAGTTACGCCAAAGAAAAGAAAGAAGACTTTACTCACGAAAGAGACGAATGGTGAGTTATTAAATGTTTGCTCAAAATTCTGCTTAAACCGTAATGAAATTATGCTTGATTATTCAAAGGTATGACACAAATGGTGTTGGACGCCGGGCAGAAACAGATTGGTGAGTATTAGCAAATTAAGCTAGAAATTTTTAATAATGTATCACGTCATATGACCCAGTTTCAATAACAATGTAAATTTTCTAATTATAGGGCCAAAGTATTGCGACGAGTGTGGGCTTTTGTACTCTCCTGGAGACTTCATTGACGAAGAAGAACATCGAAAGGCACATGTTCGGATTCAAAACACTTTTCAACTCACGGTAGTAATTTCATTTAAAGGCAGTTTACAATTATATATGAAATACTTATGTATGATAATTTTTCTTTTGGTTTAGTTGTGGAAAGATGCAAAGATTTTGTTTAACTATCATGACGGGTGTCAAATCATCATGGTGCTTGCCACAGACGTTGCAAGGGTGAAGAACCGGCTGAGAGACTTTTTAGCTTGGTTAGACTCTGAACTTGGTGCTGGTTATGACCCATCCGGAACAAGGAAGTCGGAAAGAATCTTTCTCTACACCTCGCGTACCACTCGGAAGAATGTTGTACGAATTCTTGGTATAACAGCATATATAATTTTAATTTGTCGGGCAATTTTACTAAATTTGTTGCATTATTAAATTTTTTCTCAATTTCTAAGGTTGTGGAATCATGGAACTTCCAGACATTTCAAGAATGATTACTTCACCTCTGCTAGTCGACGAAAAGGGGTTTACATCACAAAATTCGATGGAGTTCGACTCAATTTCCACCACTTCATCGCCAACGTCACAATCGCAATCTCAAAACGATGATGATGATAATACAACAACTACAGTTCAAAAAAATCATTCCAATCACGAGGTTCTCATCGGTGTCACACGATTGTGGACCGACTCTGGGTTTCGGAGACGAAACATTGCTTCAAAAATGTGCGAAATAATGCGCTTTAACAGTGGGATTTTAGGATATGTCGTCCCCAAAGAGAATTTTGGCATATTAGAACCTTCCGATGATGGGAGGGCTTTTATGGCCAAATTTTCTGGTGGTGGGGGTGCCATATATACTTATATGTAAATGATTTAAATTAACCATTTTTGTACTGAATTATAATAATTTTTCAGACTTAGCATTATCATTCAGAGAATTCCTTATAGAGAAAAAAATACGCCTTCCAGTTACTCAATACGCTTAAAAAACATAAATGTACAAGAACAATAATTGTGTACAAAACTTAAACTACATGGTGATTGTATGATAAATTAATAAATTGTATGATAAATTAATAAATAAATGAACTTTTGTACCGAGAAAACTATACGTATGCAGTATGAAAAGGTGCATTCTATTGCAGTGCATGCTATGCAAGTTGCAAGTAAGTGCAGTTGATTTTATTTTTTGTTTAGGCTGGTTATAGATTTACACAGAACAGACCAAGGTTTAAGAAAATGCATTTAGAATGGTCGATACCAATAAAGTGAAGGATGAGGTAGGATAATTTTAGCTCAACAACACCGAAGATGCATTTCACCCCCTACAACATTCATAAGCGTAAATTCCCATGATGATTCCATTCCACAACAAAAAATACAACTGTATATACTAGAAAAACATTCCTACATTTACATGCCAAATCTGCCCTTGTGTAATGAGTTTGGTTTATTGGAGGGTTCAACTACTCTTTGTGTCAAATCGTCGTCTTTTTATACCGCTTCTTGTCTGGCCATTTCTTTCTCTATTCTATCAATCTTCAGAGTAATAGTAGTATGTTTGTATCAATGAATATGGATAAGTAATACTTATCAATTGCATCTCATTTACAAAATTATTTAGCCAGCAATTACTTGAAACCAATCACAAATTGCAATCTGTCCTCAAAAAATTCTAAACGGTCACAAAAATGCAATTATTTATTTTAATCATTCCTAGATGACGCTATTGAACTAAAAATTTAAATCCATTTAGGCTATTCTACCCATAGAAGTGTTCAAAACCAAAATTGCATCGCCAAATATTTTGCATTTACACAAATTTTGCCAACCGTCATCACTTGAGACGTAGCCCTTGTCCACTTCCTCCTACCCAATCTCACTTCAACCAACCAACGAACCAAGCGGCGAGTCAACGGCCACCACCACCACCACTCCTTTTGGCTGCTAAAAAGCAATCAACTCGGCTCACTCGGCTCACTCTACTGCTAAATTTTGGTTAGGAAAGTCAGCGTTACTTGACTCTACCTTATCCAACAAAACCTTATCTTCAACCCTAATTTCTTCACCACTTCAATAATCAAGCATCAAAATGGTAAGTTTCCATCTGGTTGGGGCTGGCTGTACAATTTTTTGGGGGGTTTCCACGTAATTTGGGGTGAAAATGGGGAGATTTTATAACGGGTGGCCGTTAGTGAGTCATTGTAACGGACTGACAGCCGCCATCTTTCCCTTCCCTACCTTGCTAATACACAAAGTTGGGCGTTGGGCCCGGCCGGCTTATCGAGACGGTGTACTTATGCTTGTAACTTATCTAATTACAAATTATGTTTTATTTTAGCGTGAGTGTATCTCAATCCATGTTGGCCAAGCTGGTGTTCAGATTGGTAACGCCTGCTGGGAATTGTACTGTCTCGAGCATGGGATTCAACCTGACGGTCAGATGCCTTCAGATAAGACGGTCGGCGTTGGTGATGACTCTTTCAACACGTTCTTCAGCGAAACCGGGGCTGGAAAGCACGTCCCACGAGCGGTCTTTGTCGACTTGGAACCTACCGTTGTTGGTGAGTAGAGAGAGATTTGGGCATTATTTAATTTTAGTTATTTTTGTCGAAAATTGTAAATAAGTTGGAACATTGGGGTCTAAATTTAACGAGGCTTATGTAAGTTTTACGGCATCCAGTTATCTCATCGTCTCATTTCATTTCACAGAGGTTTTAGATCATGATTAGATTATATTTCATCAGAATTAATTAAAATGTCAGCATTCCATAATTTAAATGTTGATTTATCATGCTCTCGCCTTGGAATTATATAGCGTACCGGCTGAAATTTAGACATGATCTCATCATTATTTTGCTCAATGCGTGAGGTCACCATGTTTCCTGTATGCTTTTTATTTAATTACATATTATGGGGATGGATGGTGGGCGGTGGAAGATCATTATTAATGCTGAACAACAAAAAACATTTCAGTTAGGCTTGGTTTGTGTGGATGTAGAGCACCAGACTTTCGGTTTGCCCAAATAAGGCAAAGTTTTAAGAGCATAGCTAAAGCTTTGTTAGAAATGAGTAGGAGAGATGGCCATGATGGATGCGCCCATACTGCCATTGCAAATGGTATATTACAATGAATTCTTATATTCCTATGCATCAAAGATCACCTTAAATGTAGTGGTGGTATTAGACCATAGCCAGCACCTGCCTGTAGAGAATTCTTATTCTGAGTAGTAGATAATGTTACCAACTTTATTCTGAGGTGGAATTGTGGTCAGGAAAAATCATCGTTGATATGCAGCAGATGGTGCATCTTGGGATGAGCTCGTGATGCTAGTTCATGCTAATGATACGTAGCATTTGTATCTACTAGTAGTTTCAATGCAATGTAAATTAGAATCCTGCCGTATTTAGCTAATATCACTCCATTTGGTAATTGCTAACCAGATTTGAATTCGTTTGATACGTCTCCTACGTTTAAACACACTCTAATTAGAGGTGTACATGAATTTATCAATGATACAATAGTACAAATGAAGATCACAGGTCAATTGTGATTGTGTGTGAGTGAGTAGGCTTGGACTTGTTTATGGATTTGGTGAAAGTCTCCATATTGAGACACCTTTCCTTAGAAGGACTAGACTTTGGAGTTTTTATCACGAAGATGAAATGGTGTGTAATAGGGTGATGTCATTAGACAACGACAACAACAACCACTAACTACTTATGCTTACTTCTATATTTGGTCAAGGCAATAAAATTTAAGTCTGACCATCTGTCGTTTATAAAGATTCATACAATCCAATGCACGTGTGTATTAAGATTAGTGAATTCAATAAATGTTTTATGCCTTCATTTGTTAACAAATTTTTATTGACAATTTCCAGACGAGGTCCGAACTGGAACTTACCGACAGCTTTTCCACCCCGAGCAACTGATCACTGGAAAGGAAGATGCCGCCAACAACTACGCCCGAGGTCACTACACCATCGGAAAGGAAATTGTTGATTTGGTTCTCGACCGAATTCGCAAGTTGGCCGACCAATGTACCGGTCTTCAAGGTTTCTTGATCTTCCACTCCTTCGGAGGTGGCACCGGCTCTGGATTTACTTCCCTCTTGATGGAACGTCTCTCCGTCGACTATGGAAAGAAGTCCAAATTGGAGTTTGCCATCTACCCAGCTCCCCAAGTCTCCACGGCCGTCGTCGAACCCTACAACTCTATCCTGACTACTCACACCACTCTGGAGCACTCTGACTGCGCCTTCATGGTTGATAACGAAGCCATTTACGACATCTGCAGAAGGAACTTGGACATTGAACGTCCCACCTACACCAATCTCAACAGGTAATTAATTAAGTTCATTGATCAAGTTATGTATGCCAAGATGGATGAATGTGATACTAATTTCGTCTTGTTACGTTAATGTACAGACTCATCGGACAAATTGTGTCCTCTATCACTGCCTCATTGAGATTCGACGGTGCCCTGAACGTGGATCTTACCGAGTTCCAAACTAACTTGGTTAGTTTAGCATGTTAAATTTCTCCAAGAAAGATTGGAGTATTTTTCAATATATTCAGCCTGCTAACATATTTAACTCTTCTTTCACAGGTGCCCTACCCCAGGATTCACTTCCCCTTGGTGACCTATGCACCAGTTATCTCCGCTGAGAAAGCATACCATGAGCAGCTCTCTGTCGCTGAAATCACCAATGCCTGTTTCGAGCCAGCCAACCAGATGGTCAAATGTGATCCCCGTCACGGAAAGTACATGGCTTGCTGCATGTTGTACCGAGGAGACGTCGTCCCCAAGGACGTCAATGCTGCTATTGCCACCATCAAGACCAAGAGGACTATCCAGTTCGTTGATTGGTGTCCTACTGGTTTCAAGGTTGGAATCAACTACCAACCCCCCACCGTCGTTCCTGGAGGTGACTTGGCCAAGGTTCAACGTGCCGTGTGCATGTTGTCCAACACCACGGCCATCGCTGAAGCATGGGCCCGACTTGACCACAAGTTTGACTTGATGTACGCCAAGCGTGCTTTTGTCCACTGGTACGTCGGAGAGGGTATGGAGGAAGGCGAGTTCAGCGAGGCTCGTGAAGATTTGGCCGCTCTGGAGAAGGATTACGAAGAGGTCGGCATGGACTCTGTCGAGGGTGAAGGCGAGGGTGGTGAAGAATATTAAATGCCTCATCATCGTTAATCGACATTGCTATGCGTCTAAAATGACTTTTCCCTTCTTATTTGTTACATTTAATATTCTAATATCTGCAAATTTTTCATTTTTCTAGCATTGCTACATATGTCTCAAATATCATTAATGAATGAATAAACACGACAAAAGTTTGCTTTGTTGCATACTAAAAATGAATTGTGCAGAACCATAATTACTTAATTCATACTTTGTGACGTGCATCCGCCCACTTTTTCATTAAGGAAGGTCGTAAGACCACCAGCCAGACTGATACTCTCATCATCATGAACGACATTGATTGCAAAAATGCGAATCCGACTGAATTTACAACAACTGAGCACTTTCTCACGGTGGGTGGTGGACAAAGTGCAGATTAGCTTTCACCGTCGTCATCTTCCGTTCATGAACTTGAGAAGGAGTGGAATGGAATTTCTAATCAGGGACAACAAAAGAAAGTCATGCCTTCACTCCACCAACCGCTGCGTCGCATTCTGAAAAATGATTGATTACTGATGTCGAACTTGACCGAGATTTGCATAGAAATAATGAAAATGAGCGACAGCAGAAGCCACTCCACTTCACCATAATATACAACTCATTTACATATTAACTGTACATTTCTTTAAAAATTTTCCAGTCAGTTTCACTCTGTCGGACTTTCTCCAACTCTTTAATCAAATTTTTCTTTAAAAAACATGAAAAATTTCCGTACGAAAATTTCCCACTATCCGGAAGAAATTCCTATCCACCTTCTCCACTATTCCGAAACCATCGGGGCTCTCAAACCGTTTTTGAACGTATCCCGATTTTTCGGCGTCCCCAACTTCTCCGTGATCGAGTCTGCTGTGTCTCGTGGGGGTTTGTGGTCCTTTCTCACTCTCCTCTCAATCTTCCTCCTTATCAATCAGGTAATTAGATGAATATGTAATTATGTAACCGCACACAATTTTTCTTGTTCTACATTCGTTTAAAATTAACAAACTTCAAAATTAAATTAAGAATTTGAAAAAATATGTATAATTTCATAATCCTTCAGGTCTTCCTCCTCGTTCTCAGGATTGCTGAAGGGGAGGACTTTGTCAGACGATCAGGGCCTGAAGTCATCATTCGCGTGCACGTGATTCTAGTGATTATTTGGTCTCTGGCTTTCTCTCGGAAGTTGTCAGAGACGCTGAGGGTTTCCCCTGTAATAGAGAACAGGATCAATAAGGTATTACTCATGTGTAAAATATGCAGACATGATAAACCACATTTTTGGCTCATGTAAGCCATCAAAATTTATGTAAACTCTTGATCAGGTTTATAGCGGAGCGGATGGCGAATTCCTTGGACCCTGGGCCCTCCGCCGGAAATGCTTTTTCTGGACGATTTTGTACATCCTGTTCAGTGTGGGTCTCATGGCGATGTCCTTCTTCCTTGAAGTCGTCACTGGGGACAAGGTAATAAAAGTCAGTAAACGTTGTGAAATATTATGTATGTGCTTATTTAATTAATAATTTTTTAATTGGAAAGTCCCTGGAGGAGGGCTGGACTTCTTATGGAATGGAGAGTTGTGGACTCTCTTCAAGCATCATACCCTACGCCAGCGTCGCCTCCGTCTACTGTCTCTTGATGGAGCTGATAACCAATTTTCTGTGGCTCTTTGGCGACTGGCTCCTCCTACTTGTTTCACTCATCATGGCGCACATGTTCAGAAGAATAAATGTCAATGGAATTCAAAGGATTGAGCCGGGGAGACTTTCCTCGATTGAGATCGACTTGGTGAGGGAACATCATGGACTCATGTCAAAATTGGTCAAGGTAAGCATACCGGAAGTACGTATAGATAGGCAAAAATATTCATATGTGGAATGAGTGCTTATGTACATGCATGGCGTCTGAAGGATTTCGACGACGCCATTGCCTCGCTTAATGTCATCAGTGTCGTCCTGAACACGGCCTACATCATCCTGTCCATCTACTCCATAGTCACGTTGAGAAGGGGTGAAAGGGTCAATATGGGAGCGAGAGTTATGAAACTTTACGGAAAAATTGGCGTGGCTATTTTCAAGATGTTAGCTGGTCTAATTTCAGCTTCTGTCCTTCATCACAGGGTAAATTATTAAGTAAATTTTATGCATCGGTATCTTTTTTACCCTTAGTTTTACCAACAATAAATAGGCGCATGAAATGATCTCTGAAATACGATCGTGGCCAATGGCTCGTGAATTTAATGACTTTTCCCTCAACAACGGACGTGCTGCAGTCGTAATACTTTTTCATGAACATAATAATTTATAGTGCTAAATAACTGTAACGATAACTTGTTGAACATCTAAATCTTTCCCTAGATGCAAGCCTTCGTAAGTCAATTAAGTCAGGGGGATACAGGACTCAGCGTAGGGAAAGTGGTGACCATTACGGGGAAACTAATGACAGTTTTGGCTCTTGGCGTCGGTGTGTTTGTCGCGTTTGCAAGAATTACAATATCTTCTTGTTCGAGAGGGGGAACAAGGACATCTTCACTGAGCAGTTTTTAAGTGAATACAACCAGAAAAATTGTATATCGTTGCATAACTATTTATTTATTGCCTTGCGTTTATACATATGTATAGCTTACTTACATATGTGTAAAGTGTTTGCACTGATTTATTGCATAGAATTATGGTGAGATAGGCATGCACATATTTATTATTACCTATTATGTATCAATATTATTGCACTGTTCACTTTTAGTACTTTGGACTTTTTGTTGATAAATATATATTGTCTTTCACTATATTTAAATATATCATGTATATAAGTATAAGATTCTAATTCTATAGTACAGGCTCAGTCTCTCGTAACCAGTCAGGAATTTCATTTTTGAACATTCTCTTGAATAAAATTTCTTTCGTTCTTCGTCTAAACCCAACATAATGGACACACCCTTTCACAGCCAGGTCTTCCCCGTAGTCTTGTAAAATGTGTGCCCTCTTGGTCGGCTCGTCAGCATATTGTCGGTAGCAAAAGTCAATTTCCTCTCCAGTCAGAGGAACTTCCGTTCTGAGCATTTTCTCCTCAGTCTTCTTATCCATGGCACGTTTGTACTGGATGCGGAAGAGAAACGTGTCCAGGATAAATGCGACAATGATCGTTATCAGGACCATCGTGACCAAGTAGAAGGACATGAAGTAGAGACGACTCCAACCAGAAGTCACCATGGCGTGTCCTTCCATAATTACGTACCAATTGTTGACAACCGTTAATTCAAAAAGTGTGACCCAACTTGCAGCCAAATTGGAAAAAGTATTTAAATAATAATGTAACTGGAAAGTCGTGTTTAGTCCATCGTCCGCGTAGTACGGTTCCAATAAAGTTCCGTTGCAGCAATTTCTCAGAGGAATGTTGGCAAATAGCTCCATTCCCACGATGGAGTAGGCGTAGTAAAGTAAGAGTATTACTGAGGCCGCTGATGACATGGGTGGAATTAGGATGAACAGCTTTTCAAAATTAATAACAACAAATTAATAACACGAGCGACATATTACATAAGAGCATTAATTATACTTACTGTTCCAAAAACGTCACGGTATCTGGGAAAAGTAGACACGGAGGATTAATTGAGTAACTGATATTTTTGTAAATAATTAAATACAACAACTACTTTTACCTTTTTTTGAGCTTAAATAATCGAAGCAGTCTCAGTGGTCGGACAAACGTTAAAAGTTCGCTCCAACTTTTGAGAAATTCGACGAATATTATGGCAAAGATAAACAGGACAGACGCTATTAAGTCGAAAGTGTGCCATCCTGAGGAGAAGACCCGTTCAGAACCCCAGGCAGCAATTTTCAATCCCATTTCGATCATAAACCCTGTACATTGAAACAAATAATACAAATATGTGCATACGGTCAAATATCGGTCCGTATTGAATTTGGCATTATTTGTATAATCTAACATGTGGCAAAAACATACGAATCCCAAGAATATCCTCCCTGCACCCATCTTGCTACCATTGCTACAGTGTTCAAAATTATGACGCCGTCTGAAATCATACAATAATATGATGGATGACAATTGAATGAGGCTATATTTTTATGTATTAACTCACTGAATAGATGGTCAGCATATGGAGAATTTAAGAATCTTTGAGCTTTCACGCCTAAATCCGCACAGAAAATCCATTGACGCTGGAAGCCTGAATTGTTTTTGAGTTGGGGTTCCCACTTTAAATCCGCAAATTCATAAAACCGACAAAATTCTTCGCGACTTAAAATACCATCTCCGGATTTGTCCAAGGCCTTGAAAGTTAGATAAATATCGCGAAGAGCTGTATATAACAAAGATTAGTTGTTTTCGATCAAAATTGTTTCATGAACTCAAGAAACGAATTAATTTACGTACATTTCTTTGGCGCAAACTGCGTCATCATCCCTAAAAGAAACAAAATAAAATATATCATACATGTATGCACAATATTTTCTGATTTACAAGGATTAATAAATACCATAAAAATGACGAAAAATAATGCCATTCGGATTGGATTTCGAGACAAGTAAATTAAAAGAGTAATGACACGCTTGACGCTTGTGAACAACTAATTTTCTGAATTTTTCTTTTTCCAATGTTGTGAATGTATCGTAAACCACGGCCAAAAGCTGAAAGTATAAATAACATTACTTAAAATGTTTCAAATATCTAATATCCATTTCAAATAGTTATTGATCTGCTAACTTACCAAATTCATAAACAAGTACAACACTGTAACAAGGTACGCCACAAAAAAGAGGACAGACCAACGACTTCTATTGTAGGATGGCATCATTACATCAGGGTAGCTTTAGTTTAAGACGTAACATAATTATTAGACTGTCAAATAGTTAAAAAATATGCTCATGATTAGATTAGCCTACTTGGCTGTCGTCAGTAGAACAAAGAGATTAACGAATGAGATGTCCAACGACTTGAAAAATGGATCCGTCGTTCCGTCCGCGTGTCCAAACAAAAAGTGACCCAGCAAGGTGAAAGTCAAAATGAAGAAAAAGAGTAGTAACAACATGTCGATGATTGGAGGAAGCGTTTGCAAGACCTAAACATCTACTAATTAGTAATGACAATTTAAATAAAAATATTAATACTGACCTCTCGAGTGAACCTCCTCACACCGCGACAATAACGATTATCGACGAGAAAAATGGGGCGCAAGGCACGAGTTATTCTCACATGGGAGGACTGACGTAATAAAACGGCTACAGCTTCTATGATCATCACCACCATGGTTAATGTCTACAATATGACAGGATCCATTAATTTCACATAATAGTTAATGTGGAGAAAGTGGAGAAAGTACCTTAATTAAAGTCCGCTTATGTGAAAATAACGTCGAAATTCCTAGCCATCGTAGTTTTAGAATTAAGCCTAACGCTATAACGGCTAGTGCACCCAGTTCTAATGATGCGTGTACTCCCAGTGGTAGCTGCAGTATAAAAATAAGTGCATACATTAAAATAAAGCATTTTCACTAAGAATAAATAGTAAGTACCTCCAACATATCTACGGCCGGAGGTTCCGTCAAAGCTAACGAAAGTAAAACTAAAGACGCCAACAGGTCCAGTACATAAAACCTGGAAACGTACGAGGGTTTTATTCGGGAGTGTGAGGTTCAAATCCACAATAGAATGTAAACTAACCAAGAAGTATGCGCCATTATATACGCCGGTAAGGATTCTTTGCGTTTCGGATGAGTGGAAAACTGATCATTATTTGCACCCTCTTCTAAATATATGGCACCTTCCTGCACACAAATTATTTAATTACAATTCGGTCATAAAGTTTATAAATGAAATTTCGCCTACTTGATAGTTCATCGCCCATTGCGTGTCTGCCTACAAAAGAAAAGAATAAATTCAATCACTTTGCACTTAATAACATTTACAACGTAACATTAGAATTGTACCATCCGCATCCCAATCAGATAATAACTTGGCTCGATAGGATTTGACATGCGATGACCCCTGGACGCACTATCCTGCTGTGGTTGTTGTTGCTGCTGCTGCTGGCCATCCTCACTCGACAATGGGACTTCGACCGGAAATTGACCCATATTTACGGGAGGTCCAGTGTCAGCTTTAAAGAAACCAAATCCCAAAACCTTAGCAAACTTGGACTCCTTGAAGGAAGTTGAGGGTCGAGGGGTGCGTGAGTATGACTCTGTCAAAGGGGAAGAAGTTCCCTCCTCGTGTTGAAGAGGGATGGGGATTGAGGATTGCTGGGAGAAAGCAGCAACAGCGTCGTTACCACCACGAATACCACGACCCACCGTCCAGGAGGGGAATTCGGTTTCAGCCCTACCCAAACCAAACTGTTCTTCAAGGGATTCGTCGCCCTCAACGCCGTCTGAAAGTGAAACGAAGCCACCTTAATTGTTTTCACTTTTTCACAAGTTATTATGTCACGTTGTGTTATAAAATATGTTACACATATAATGTCCACACCAGTTTGGTGTGGAAAATCCCAAACTATTTGCAAGTTCGTAAGCTGCGTCGCAAATAAGTAAATACCTCCGTTCGTGTGATCTGCAGATCTTGTCGAAGTTGTCTTGAAAGGATTAGTTGGCGTTATTTGGAGAGATCTCGCCCTAAGTTTGCCAAGTCTTATTAAGACTTCCATCATATGTAAGTCAAGGAATTACAGTTGGGGAAATTATAACTATATTATTTATCAATCCCTCATCATGCGTGTGATTGATAAAATGTCAGATATTTAAGATGGTTTTACATATTCGAGTTGGGAAGGAGGATATGGTTTATTGATAAAGATGATGAACTTAAATGGTGGAGGTAGTACGTATATTGTACATATGCTATTCTGATATGATTCTGTACAAATTGTATATGCAAATGTAAATGATAAAATTGAATAGCGTTTTCTGGTCGCATGTGTGATTTGAATACATTAAAATAATAATCCACATCATTCAAATTGAGATGGATTAAAGTATTGAACTAACTAATACCACCAGTAGCTGTGCAGACTCTGTAGGGTACAATTAAAAGTAAAGTGACTCTAAAAAATCATACCAAACAGTTACATAAAAATTCTGACTTGGTGAATATGTGTATATATTTATATGCATATTGGAAATATTAGTGTTGCAAAAATGCAATTAAACCTTCCTTAAATTACCAGACTGGAAAAAAATTATTTAATTATTTTAAAGTATAGATCATCCGATGGTGAACGTGAAAGCAAAAGTGAAAGCATTATTTATTAAGCGTCATTTAATGTGGTTTAAGAATTTTTTTGACAATCTGAATTATACGAGTGCTAAATTCACAGCAAACATAAACTAACTACGCTTAACAAACTTACCATAGTTTATGCTATAAGTGAGTTTCCTCTCTTCAATGTCGTCGGAATCGCTAGCCATTAGATATGTATGCTTTCACCGGACTAGAATCGTACCAAAAATGCACACACAAAGTTTAAACTTGCATTTTTTTACGAATTATATAATTTCAATCAAAATTTTAGTTTGATTTACCTTTCTCACCTACAATCTCTCTCTCTCTCTCCCTTTATCTCTCTCGTTTAATTGATACTTAAAAATTTAGTAATCGCAATGTACATAAAACTGAGCACAGACTTTAGCAGTCTTTTATCTCACTTCTCGCGTAATCAAGTTGTGATGTGGTTGTGATATTATTTAGTTTTAAAAATTTAAGCACAAAAATGAAAATGAAATATAAAATAAAATTCACAACTAATTAATACGTAATTTAATTTACACTTTGTCCTCCACGACACTAGTCCACCCTCCTCCATTTCAGTTTTAACTGGACATCTTTACTTGTATTTATCACTTCTCTGTGCATTCAATTTCTGAGTTGTATTACATAAAAGCCTGTTTGTTACGCTGTAAATAGGATGTAGGATGAGATCGAGTTTAGTTTGTACGTATAGCTCATTAATTTTTGTTGGTCAAAATGCAATCATCGCATTTACAGTGTAATTTTTGCTTAGTATTGGTTTCTCTGATATGAATGGAATCTCTTGTACACTTGTTGCTTTTATCAACAACCTAAATGATTATGATTCGAACTAATTGATGATATGCATCTGTGATTGATTTGTCATCTTGTGTCTTGTTAAGTGGAAGATAATCTGTGTCAACAAAGACAAGCCAGTTAATACTTGAAGATTTCAGATTATTGCCGAAATTGAGATAAGGGGAGATCCATAAATTATGTCACGCAAAAAAGCCCTTTTTTAGGACCCCCCCACCCCTGTTGTCACGCCTTTGTCACGCTCGTCATGACCCATCCCCCCCCCCTTGTCACGCCTGAAAATCTGAATTTTGCCAATTGCAAGAATATTTAAGATGTATATGTTCTATAATATAAAGAGGAGCGAGTAGTATATGTAAATACATATGTAGGGCGTAATATCAAAACTCACAAAGGAATCTTATTTACTTTGTCTCCAGGATTTTGCACAAATTAACTTTATTTGGCCGATAATTCATGAAGCCACTCCTTTGTCATAGATGTGGTGCAAATTTCAGTTGAAACGAAATATTTCGCGATAACTGAGTGAAACCCGTGTAATTTTACAGGATAGGAACAATTCTTGGCTCTATTTATACCCATATCACACCCTTGATGGAGTGAAAAATCAGTGCGTGATAGATTTGTGGATAACAACCTTTTCCAAACTTCCTGTTCATTTTTTATTATATTTAGTTTTGAAAAGTTTCAATTAAGTTGAAAAAAATCCGCCAAATTTTTCAGTTTTCTTTGATGTTATTGCGATACATTTTTTTAATTGTTAACATTTTTAAATCATGCAGTTGTCTTCAATTAGTACACATTTTTGAAACCATAAAAAATAGGGCTCTTCCGGCCGAATTTGTTAAATCGTGCAAATTTTTGGGGATTTAGTAATGTTTTTTAATTGTTGAATGAATTTTTGCAAAATTATGGCGATATTTTGAAATTGTACATACTTTCAAATTTATGGCATCATGAATTCTTTTAAATTTAAATTTTTGTAATTTACAAATAATTGAATATTGTGCAAATTATTTAAAGGTTTGAACAAAATTTAGAAACTTGGTCGAAAATCTCAAAATCTAAAACTTGGTTGAAATTTTGGATGCTTTGGATCAAAGATTTAATATTCGGGTGGACATATATTTCTAAAAATAATTGCGAAACTGTAGTTTGGTCATAGTCGGGGAATTAAAATGTGAGTTAAAGTTTGCATTATGTTAGGCCTGCAAAACGTGATGTCACGGATCAGCTAACCCCCCCTCCCCGTATGTCACACTTTGTCACGGATGCTTGGAACCCCTCCCCCCCATCTTCAGCGTGACATAATTTATGGATCACCCCTAAATAAGGCAAACGTGTGTAAATTTCCGTACAGAGTTTCAAAATAATACTGTGCAAAACATTGGAGTAAAAAAAGTGAAACGAAACGTAAACCGACTGATTCCCACTTTTCCCCGTTCAAAAATAACATGGATTTTCTAGTTTCTTTTCCTGGAGAAAGTTGAGCCTCCATCCAGCAACTTCCAGCTTTCACTCCACTTTTAATGTCTGGTCAGCTAATTCATAAAAATCCAGCGATTCAAGCACCAAATTGCAATTTGACTTTAAGAGACTTAACAGGTTTGTCATCATTTGTTGTGTTTGTTTGGCTGTAAATTGCTGGCTTGGCTATCCTTCTTATCAAAGTAATAAAAATGGGTTTGTTTACTATTGTTTTATTGATTTGATTAATTTGTAATTGCAGTATTACTGTTGGCCAATAATTGCAGAAACTAAAGTGTAAGCAAAGAATGGACCCCATGGTTGGTAGCGGGCGTGGAGGGAAGCGAAGTCACACCCACAGCAGGTACAATGTTCGACCCTTATATAATTTTAAATTTTCATGTTTATGCAGAAATGATTGGTTATCCTTTTGACGATGATTATTTTCTTATTGATGATATAGCGTGATGGGTGGCGTTTCCCCCGAAGAGGAAAACAGCAATAGCAATGTGGTCTCTTTATTGGAAGTTTGCTTTCTCTGCAATCGTCGCTTTCTCTACGATTTGACTCTGGAACCGACAACAGCACAAGATGGACTTAAAGAGGAAGACGTCATACTTCACATGTTCTTTGATGATACAAGTAATAAATGTTCACATTCAATATTACATTTGATGTCTTATAAACTAAATATTTTTAAACAGGTGCCTTAGAGAAATCGCTGCTGCAGTGTTGTTCGTTTTGCAAGACTCTCTGTAACTCGTTACTTAATGCGAAATCCACATTATCAGATCTTATCGATGAGATTAGCAGCCTTTTACGTAAAAGCAAACGGTTATCTACCTCAGCTTCCTACTTGCTATCGAAGCCTCGCGTGGTAACTCGTCTCTTTCAAGATCAACAACACCCTCCTCAAATTACCTACCTTAGTGGCAGCTTAGGAAATTTATCGTCAACCATTCAAATTCAACTTGACTCTGATTATAATAATTGTAGTTCTAATTCTGGATTTCCAAGTCAATTCATCCAGCTTGGAAACAGCAACAACAGTTTAGAAACATTGGGTGAAAGTAGCAACGTGTCGAAGTTGGATGAAAATGCAATTACCAGCCCTATCCTGAAAGAATCAAGTAATCAATCAAGTCCGAATAGTGCAAACACCACAAGTTTCAGCTTTTTATCCCCTTCGCGATCGTCAAAAAAGTTAAAGCTCGATAGTTTTATCCCACAAAATGCCTCAAAACCAAAATCTTTACCAAAAGTAAAAACGCATAATAAAAGAAATAAACAGCAAAACCCAACAAATAATAATATTAGCCCTGATATTAGTGGCGATATTAATCAGATGACCCCTATCCTTATCACTCCAAATAAAAAGACGGTAATGGTATCAAACTCTTCCGGACGATTCGTCGTCGTTCAGGAACAGGAAGAAAATGCTCGTGATGTGGAAGAAGATAATGTAATTACCTCAGATATTCATCAAGGAGCGGATTACAATCAAACTTATATCATATTCGAGTCCTGTCTTGATAAAAGTGATGGTGTTCAGCAACATAAAGAACTTGTTCTTGTAAATAATGAAGAAAAAGATCTTGGGGTTACACTAAATGGAGATAATCAAGAACAATTGGTCAATGCCAACCGATCAAAACCCAAAGGAGGAGGAGGCACAGGCGGAAAGTTCGTCTGCACCATTTGTCCCAAAAGTTTCAAATGCAATCGTGATTTACAAAGCCACATTGGCTCACACTCTCAATCTAAACCGTTTTCTTGCGAAATCTGTGGGACCAGGTATAATAACTTAAAAATTATTGTGGAAGCCATACATTAACGTTTGACTTTTATATTAATAATAGTTATAGACAAAAGAAAGCGTTGGACATACATTTGGGAATACACCGAGGAGAATCCAAATTTGAATGTGACCATTGCAGGAAAGTTTTCACTCAAAAGGTCGCCCTACTAAGACATCTTCCTCTCCACACGGGCGAAACGATTTATAAATGTGATCTCTGCAACAAAGGATTCCTCCATCACTCCTCATTTGCTCATCACAAATTGACGCATTCGGGACAGAGGAATTTTCAATGTCGAACATGCGATCAGTACTTTTTTACTTCGTCTCATTTGAAGCGACATTATCGTACACACACGGGTATGTAAAACTGCATACAATTAATTAATTACAATTTTTAAATTTATATATTATTTATAGGGGAACGGCCGTATCGGTGCAATATATGCGATAAAACGTTCAACGAAAAGTCCAATTTAAAAGTTCACCAAAGAGTTCATACCAAAATACCGGCTTTCCCATGCTCTGAATGTGATAAAGGATTTGACAGAAAAAATAAGCTCAAGACACATCTTCTAACCGAACACCCTCAGTCAATGCATGAGAATCAGGGAGAAGTGCAAATTGATTTTCAGGTTACCTAATAAATTCAAAATTAAGATGTTACTAGTAAGAAAATTATAATGCATTGCCATTATCCTAATACAATTTAAAGTCAATTGTTACACATTAATTTAATTCGTCTTTATTTCTACTCCATATCTTGAGTAGTGTGATGGATGATTCTTTTCTTGAAAAACGATTGATAGTAGTACACCGAGGATTGCATACAAACTATTACAAACTCACAATTGTGCCAAAACATAATTCCTGAATTGTGCCAAAACATAATTCCTGACATCTTCATCAGCAGCTGGCAATGCTTGGCGTTGGTAGTTTAAGTCCAGTTCCATCAATGTCTCCTCTTTACGGGCATAGTCGTCACGCAACTCCTTCTCATATTTTACAGACGCCAATATCGCGGCGTCAATCTTTTCATGGTCTTTATCTAAATGTCCACACTCATGAAATATTGTTAGCATTTTTACGTGTTGAAATGTTATTCTACCTGAGCTCGTCCTGTCGCGTTCCAAATTTAGGTTAGTTCTATCACCCATTTCAAGTTGTATTAAGTTTTGAATACTAGTCAGTCGACGCTTGTACGTGGCTGCCAAATAATTTACATATAAATAAATAACAATTATTGCATTATAAAATATAACCCACCCATGCAAATCATTTCAATCCTATTCATCCTTCTCGGTGGGGGAGGGCAGGTTGGAAGCACACCCTAGAAATATAATAAATTGTTGTATATGATAAGATTAAATTACTACCTTCAGATTATAATGAAAAGCTAAGATAATGTGACCATCAAGATCTGAGAATGACATGTAGAGGGTCTCTCTCCTCCTGAGTGAAATTCACATTCACATGTTACATTCTGCATATCTCAAATTTCGTACAATTTGTTTAATCTGAGCGTCTAATTTGGGTGTGCATGAAGTTGTAAACTTACCTGGAATAAAGGCTGATTAATGAGTTCACCACCCATGTCTTTTTATCCCTTGATCTTGATTAAATATGTTCCTCGTTGACGAGTATGGCCGGTACTGTTGACTCTAAAAGCAAGCCATTTTATGCTTCGTTTCTAAATTTAAAAGGGTCCATTTCATTTTTGGTTCTATGCATTTTTATTAATAGGTATAGAAAAGGCTGTAGAATGAAAAGCATGAAGACAAATATCTTATTTTCTTGGAAAATTTTAAGAGTTCGTTGCTTGTGTGTATGAGGTTATATGTGCTGCTTAAAATCCCTCCAATGAAATAAAATTTGGAAATGAGTTTCCACTGCAAATTGTAATTAATTATAATTACAATTTTACTTAGCAAAAGTCATCATATTACAATGCATGATGTTAAGTGAACAAATTTTAGGGTCAATGCGGATTTATTCAACGGTACTATGATAACGTTAATTGGTTGGAATTTTTATCATAATCTTGTCATAAATGAGTTATCATCTAACAGTTTGTTTAAAGTCCGCTTGTATCCGTCCAATTTCTTTTTGGCCTCGAGGAGATTTTTCCTTTGACGTCGTTCTCCGTTCCTATACAATGACATTCCCGTAATATTTTTATTCTCGTTAATAAGTGTTTCAAAATGACAAAAACTTTAATGTTGAGCAAATTACCCAGAATCGTCATCCATGTCGTCATTGTCATCATCTGAACTGGCCATGTCCATGTCTTTTTTGGCCTTATCCATCCAATTCATATCTGCTAACTTTTTTCTTACTTGATGTTCGAACGTTTCCACTTTATCTGCTTCGTCCACTCTTGCCTTCAGTTGCCGAAATACTGTGGCATCAATGTTGAAGAGGGGCAACATTTTGTTTGGATCTACAAAATTAAAGAACATTAAGAAAGAAGTAATATTTTCATAAATCTTGGGAATATTATAAGTGAAAATGTGAAAATTTACCCCTCTCCAACGACTGAAATATATTTTTTAGTTTCCCAATTTCACTTGGTTCTACTAACACGATTGCAATTCCACCCTTAAATGCACGAGCAGTGCGACCACTTCTATGAATGTAGCTCTAAAATAAAATGCCCCATTTAGTGTTAAAAATTGCATGCTACCAAAGTATTATCATAATTGGCACCTCTGCAGTTTTCGGTATTTCGTAATGAACAACGTGCTGAATATCAGAAATGTCAAGTCCCCTTGCGGCTACGTCAGTGGCAATGAGAACGCTCTTCTCATCTTCTGCAAATCTCTCTAAATTTTTTAGCCGCATTTTTTGGTGCATTTCTGAATGGAGTGGGAGCACTTGACCGCATTTGAGGAGGAAAAATAAATTTGTTAATCGTCTAACAGTGTTGATGCTATTGCAGAAAACAATGGTCCGTCCTGGGTGTTTGACCAGGAAGTAGTACATGTAATAATCTTTCTTATTTGCAGGACAATTGATCTGCATTTCTTGTAGAGTCTCGCAAGTTCCTTTCGTACTCGTGATATCCACTATTTTGGGGTTTTCTCGAATTCCAATCATTTCCATAATTTGTTTAAGCTTTTCTTTTCCCGTTATTTTTTTAGGTTCTTGTTTGTTCTTGTGGTTCTTGTGTTGGAGCCGTTTCGGAGGATCATGGGTAAACGCAAGTGTTGCCGAAAATACAAAGTTTTGACGATTCAGTTTTTCTGTCTCATCCAAATTTAGAAGGCCAAGAATTGATTGAAGTTCTTGGAAATGACCCCTTTCAACCATTCTATCTGTTTCGTCGACAGCCAAATACCTGCAATATTATATCAGCGATTTAATTGGTAGTTCAGAGATACATTTCTTAATGTTCCGGTATTGTATTTGTAGGCTATAAATTGTAGGTAAACAGTGGATGCTGACCTTATTTTATTAAGATTTGCCAAGTGAGGCTCGCCTTCTTTCGCCAACTCCCACAAACGGCCTGGAGTTGCAATTACAACTTGTGGCTTGGCTCTCAATAATCGTTCCTGCTTCACAGTTGCGAGACCACCCACAATCACAACGGTCTAAAATAAACATTTTTATTATAATCTATTCTTTATGCACAAGCTTAAATTAAGTGCACCTTAATTCTTGCATATTTCGCAGCCACATCGAAATGCTTTTTGATTTGCACAGCCAGTTCTCGCGTTGGTGTGAGGATCAAAGCTTGGAGAGAATCGTCGTCACTATTACTTTCTCTGAATTGCAGAATCCCATGAATTATTGGAATTGCAAAGGCAACTGTGAAAAAAATAATGATTAAATGCGTGTCTGTGTATTATCAATAATTACTGAATAAAAAGCTCAGCAATGAAAACATTCAAAGATGAATTTCAAGCGCAATAAACGGCTTATGAACAATATTAATATCGACTTACGCGTTTTCCCACTTCCAGTTTCAGCCGCCCCAACGATGTCCTTCTTGCCTAGGACTGACGCTGGCAAGGTTGATGCCTAACAAAACCAACATAATATGCATACATAATAAATAATAATTCTATCTCTATCTCCATAATATAAACAGATCTGAGCATGCCTGAATTAATGTAGGCTTATAAAACCCAGCTTCTTTTAGTGATTGTAGAATAGGATCTTGAACTCCAGCTTTCACCCATTCGTTCATTGAAACATCCACATCGGACGAAACGGACACTTCCTTTTTCTGTACGTTACTATCCTTTTTGTTGGACTTTACAGACTTTTTTAGTTGTTTCTGCTTTAAAAGTGATGTATTCTCCTGTTTCTTCTTTTCAAGTTGTTCTAACAAAACAGAATAATAATCAGTTACTTTATGTTTTGAATTAGAATGGCAGATTGATGGTGAAATGAAATTACTTTTCGGTTTTACATGAGACTCGCCTACATCATCATCATCCCTGTTGTGAATCCATTTAGTTGACTCCCCCAAGGTTTCCGTCGCCCAGCCCCCCAGATTTTCACTCACCTCCCAGCTACTCGTCGACGCGTCACTTTCTGAAGAACGCTTCAACTTTTTATTACTCGTTTTAACTGGTTCATTCACTTTCTTCTTGTCTGCCTTTTGTTTCTTTCCGTTCTTTGACTTTTTTCTCGGGGTTTCCTCCTCCTTTTCCATGTCTTCGTCGTCGTTACTATCCTGCTCAGGTTCACTGTCATCTTCGTCTTCAACGAATTTCCGCTTATTAAACTTATCCTTATTAGTAACAATCTCTACAAAAAGTAAGCAATTAAATATTTAGCATCAGCTTGTATAATAATTTATAATCAACCAATCATCAAATAATACGTACCAGTTAACCCGTCCGGTTTCTTAACAATTTCATAGTCTGTGAGCACTTCCAACGAAATTAATGATTCCATTTCCTTCTGGGCAAGAAACTCTTCTCCGATTGGAACCTGGTCCCAATTTCCCTTCTTCTGTTTCCCTTTCTTTTGTTTCATCCCCATTTTATTTAAACAAACAACACAAATTTACTACTTGTTATCCAAATCCAGGTAGAGGAGAGATCAGATTGAAGAAATAAACATGTGCAGGTTTCAACTTTCGCGCAACAATTTCATCTCATTTCACCCCAACTCATAATATTCTTAAATGCATCTCTCTCTGAGATTTACTTCATGCAAAACAATTTGTAAACGGCGTCAACGTTGTAAAAATGCAAAATCTGCAACCGCTTCTTACAAAATGTGACATTAAATATTATCCAACAACTAATGAAGATAGATTAGGAAATGCAAATGGAAGCCTAAAGTGGCATTTAAATACTGCATTTTATGCTGAAGTGCGATTATCGCTAATCTCACCCCAACCTAGTGCATGGTGCAAAGTAAGGTATTACATATTACTCAATATGCGGAGAATCCCAACCCAAGCTAATCAAACAACCAGAATTCGCATGCCAAACTAGAGGGAAGAGCCGAGTAGTCAGAATATGGTAGATAAGATGACAGATAACACAAACAGAAATTAAGCAGATCAGGCAGCCAATGCAAATTTGGAGGTCGTTGTTTTGCCAAAATGCCAATATGTTATGACATATGTAGAGTTGGTTGGCTTGGTGGATATGAAGGTATGAAATAATTTGTGGTGGTGTGTAAATTCGTGGGCACTTTTCATAAGCATCATCATCATATCATCCATTTCTGAAGGTCTTTGAGAGAGTCATTCATTGTCATCATGCTGGATTTGACTAAAGGTTGCATATATATATATTGCAATTATCCTGTTGGTCATTTTCCTGGAAGGCAAAAAAATACACAATAAATGGGATAAAGGGAGTTCCATAATATGTACTGCACAAAGTAAAAACACTTTGACACATCACGTAAAAATACAATGATCATGTCGTTACATTGCACCTTAATTTTAAACTTTAAAGATTTCTTTAACAATCAGAAATTGGTGCGAGTCAATGGCACGCAGATCTATGGTCGGCACGAGACATCGACGGACATTGATACAAGGTGTTGAGTCTTCTTCTACTAATCAGAACACTTGAATTGGTTAAAGACTTTTGGTGGTTGACGTAATGAAATGAAGGAAATGGAGATAATAGTAGTGCAGATCGAGGCTGAAGTGAAAACTGAGCAACAAGAAACGAAAAGTGGTATTGAATTCGTTTAGAGTAGTAAGTCGCAGTCGCTGAAAGTTAACTGGCCAATAGTAATAATAATAATAGAACAGCGAGCAGCAGAACAGAGAATGTTGTATTTTGTATGTAGTAAAAAACAACTCTTGATTCTTTATCAGCCGCACTACTACTACTGCATAGTATTATTCCTGTCCTCCTCTCTACTATGGGTGCTATAATACTTTGTATTCACATTCTTCGCTCTATCTGCCACAAACTTATTAGATAGTCGTCAGTCAGTAGTAGTAAGTAATATGTAATAACGTCCTATCATCATCATCAGAATATAATAGATAGTGAGTACGTGCTAAGCACCTTTTATAAACCACATGTATTAACTAACTAACTACATCCACCGATACAAATCCTCTGCTAGCCTACGACTACATACAAAATGCATGTGTAAAACGAAAGTCCGCAGCAACAGCAGCATTTTTTGTTGTCGTCGCCGTATCGCGTAAAGTAGGCAGGTTTTCGTATAATTGGCGATATATGTACGCCAGACCAAATACATACACGGCTTGTGAGATTCAACAACTATTATTATAAGATGATGATGCCAAGCAATGTGTCATGTCATGCCGTCGCATAACAGAACACACATGAATTTCTGTTTCTTTAAGCCGGATTGCATTTGCAGCGAGCTACAGCAGAGCTAACCTACCCGTTTAAAAGGAACTCTTTAACAACAAGTGAGTGAGTGAGATACTGATACGAGCAAGTTTTAAGTATCGATCTTCCACACATCGAATTCAACCGAATGGCCAAGCCGAACCTTGTGTTACAACAATATAGAAAAGGATTTTGTTGTATGTATGTGTAGACTAAAACTCTTTTAAGAGACCAGACTGCTTTGCTGGTTCGCTGCTGTTCTTTCTAACCTAACCATAATAATATCGCATAATAGCAGAGAAACAGCAGCCTGGTGGCGTAAATGAAGAGATATATAGAGAGACACTACTACTCTGTTATACTATTTGGGTATCCAAGAGCCTGTAGTCATAAAACCTGCTTTATCCACCGTTCAATCAGAAGCGTACCAAGCCACGCTCGTGGTACTGACGCCACATTGAACCCAAATCATGGAAACCATGAGATACCTTTAATCCTACTAGCACAAACTATATCTACCTAATTTCCAACTATTTCCCTCTTTTACTAATTACTAGTAATAATTCGTTTAATGATGTGTTGATCTTCATACTGAAATCAAACCAGTGACGCCCTACGCTGTTGTATCTGAAACGCCAAAAATAAAGATGCAATTAGCACAACATCCATTAAAAGACGTATTATTCATTGATGATATTTTTACTGATGACAAACTCTTTGGGATTCCTCTTTCCTTTGTTGGGGTTGCGATTTGATGGGTTACGGTCCTCGAGAGTTGGGTCAGCTTCCAATGAGGGTCAGAGGGTGGTAGTGATGGGGGGCGAGAGTGAGTCGTCGTTGGGTTGGTTGGCGGGGTAGGGCCCATTGCGCATTCGCCTCGCCAGAGCGGAATCTCACTCACTCGCTCACTTCTCCAATCCACCAACTTCTAAAACTTCTCTCTCTCTACCTTCATCGCACTCCAAACAAGACAACATTTACATTATTATTCTCTCTCTCCTCCAATCCAAAGTCATACTGGTTCTACTTATGCCATGGCCAACATCACTCTCCATCAGCTCCTCGTTCGCCACACTTTCCGAACGGTCCTTGGTCACGCACACCCCCCAAACAGGGCAGATCCTCGTCTAAGGTCTTGACTCTGGGAGGTGTCCAAAAATCAGAGAAATCCATCCATTGGGACGGACCCCACAGTTTGACAAAGTTTCGCCAATCTTCAGTTAGTTAACCCCTCGCCGAGGGGGAGTGGGGGGTCAGATTCTGAAAATGAAGACATATTCAGTTAAACCAAACCCAGTTGTATCACTTGTTGAAATTTCAATAAAAAATATCGAGTAGCAATGGCGCTACAGCTTTGCGAAGGTTGACTAAATAAGAGACATAAGGGATATAATAAGAATGTTATTACGGAATAAGAGAAGGCAGAAGAAGGGCTACCGTTGTGTTGGAGGGTAAAATCAATCTTGTTTTGAGACTACGTTTCCATTCTGTTGGAATCCGGCACGGTGCTTCGAGGCAGTGTTGTTATTGAATATTAGTTACTAATATTCTGAAAATATTTTGAAAAGAAAAGACAACATTTTATGACTTGAGAAATTTTTCCCATTTTTGAATGGATGGATGAGAATTTTTTATTACTAATTTTAAATAAAATGACCCGGAAATCAGAAATATTAAGTACCCTTTCCGTCATATTTTGATTCTCAGAGGAGAGTGTCGAGTGGTGTGGTGGGTGGTGCAAAAAGTTACTTGATGTAGGCCGATGTCGACTTCATCGACAGGATCAGGAATAATAGAAGCAGCTGCTAAGACTTCTGGGCGCACGACGACGATAAATTCACCATCTCCTTTATCTGCTACTACTCCTAGTGGTACCGCTGGCAATATTAAACACCACCTAGAAAAAGACAAGAAGAGGAAAAAATCCAATTTAATAAGATTGTCCACCTCTCCTACTAAACGTACCACTACTCCAAATAAATCAAGCCAATCTATGGACTTGGCACCGCGCGGCCCCTCTGTCGTCCAACTACGACCTGTGCGACCCGTCTTTAGCACGCTGTCTGCATCATCATTATCTTCATCTACCAATAAACCAAATAACAATAATACCTCTTCGTCTGTAACGTCATCACCCGGGGGATTAATTAGTACGACCGGTGGTGGTGGCGGTGGTAGCCCAATAATTAGCGTTAATCGAACCACACCAGCCGGCACGAATGTAACCATCCTCCCGGCAAGGGGGGTGACAACAACGGTAGGAAATACTCAGCAAGGGGGAATTATGCCAACTTATCAGATTACGAGGGTCGGAGTGGGCAATGTCGTACGTCCCGGTGGTGGTGGTGCTGTCGTCGGACCGGGACAACAACCAGCCTCCATCACGGTCACGCCATTACCCACGTCAAAGTAAGGAAAAAGGATTAATAATACTTGATAATTATCAATTTGGTTGATTGGAAAATTAAAAAAATATGATCAATTAATTAATTAATTAACTCTGCTCGTTTGTTTATCTAGCCTGACAAATCTCCGCCTCGCGGCGGGCACACCGGTGAACAATGGGACGTGGTTGCAAGCGAGCGGTGTTCAAGGATTTGCGAGAGCAATAGCTGTCGGAGGCAGGCCGGTTCGTCCAGCTGATGGCAAAATGATACACATACCGCAGCACGTCACCCAGGTATAAATATAATCCCACACTGGCAAAACGAACCATTAGTTAATTGAGTTAATTATAAATTAATCATAATGTGGCTATTCACTAACCAGCTACAAGTGGTGGATGGGAAGGGGTCCATTCTAAAGCCGCAAATTGGCACACCCATCGTCAACATAAGGGGACCCCTTCCAGGTGGAGCCACTTCCGGCCAGTCACTTACCCTTCCACTTCCACCCTTTACGATTAGGACGACAAATATTACCAACATTTCGGCGGCCATCCAGCCACGACCTCCTCCCAATAGCACGCCGTCGTCGTCGTCGTCAGGCACTCTTACGTCTACTCCGTAAGGCTACTTTCGCTCTAGTTATAAATAACTTGATTGTTTACATTATTCATAAATGCAATTAATTATGGATATGATGGTACAGGGTTCACAAAGTGATAACTCAGCATGATCATAATGCACCGATTCAGTTTGTGAATGCTACAAATAAGAATGCTATTGGAGCATCAATTCCGAAGCTTAGCACGGTTTGCCTCACCTTGTCTACCAATGGTAAGTATATATAAGTGACATTAAGGGTAACTCTTTTTTTACGTAATTCAGGGATTCATTTACAAGGAGCATATTTATTTTCTCTAGCAACTCTAGCCCCCAACAATAGTTCCCCCGTCGTCGCTGTGTCTTCGAGACAAGCAGCAGCAGGGCTTACTCCAAGTCTGATAGTGACTCCTTCCTCCCTGACTGCCAACAATACGACGACGACAACGGCGACAACTCTTCCAATCACCAAAGTATACCCTGTTGGGAGGGATGGAAGTAGCATGGTAATGGACAACATGTTCTCCTCAGGCAGTGCCGTGTCAGTGAGTACTGTGAATGTGAATTTGTCCACGATATCCACAAATTCAAGCAATGCTCCCAATCCACCCTGTGTCGTCGTGGCGGCGTCTTCGTCGGTAGGGGCTCACCATCACCCCCAACACGTCTTGCTCCATACGACCACCCCCACCATCAATGTCCATACAGGACAAAATCCTTCTAGTGGCGGCGGACTTCCTCCTTCCAACCTTGTTACAGGAGGAATCGCACCAAGCTATTTTGTCGATAAGAACTTCCAAATGAACATCCTTCCCCATCAATCAAGGCCTATTACCCTGGAGAAAAAGATTGACCCGAAATCCCTCCCTCCTGGAAGTATGATCATCACGGCAGCAGCAACAACCACCACCGGCAACACTGTCACAATACCGTTAACCCAGCATTTAACAAACCTTGCCCATTTGGGACATCACCATGCAGCAGGAAATACTCATAATAATATCGTCAATCCTAACAATAATAGTTCTACAACAATTATAGCTACTAGTACTACAAGTGCCACGTCTTCATCTTCTTCCACGCCGCCATCATCTCATAATCATCTTCCCCATCAAATACTGGCACAATTTAATCCCCACTCGGTGACGGTGACACCATCCTCCACCAGTATCCCTATTCCAATCCCTGCTCACGTGATATCCCAGTCAATCCTCGGAGTGACGACGAGTAGCAGTAGTCTCGGCTCTGTCTTGACCGTCACCACTACCACGATTTCCTCAACCTCGGGTACCTCATCATCATCAACCGGATCTAGTTCAACATCCAGTATCATTTCCTCCTCCTCCTCAACTCCAAATATCATCACCTCGGCGACTTCTATACTACCCTCGACAATGACGTCTTCTTCTACAAGTAGTACCTTTACATCCTCATCGACGGCAACCACAACTACTACCGCCCCACCGGCTCAGTCTCCAAATCATAATAATCCCCCAACTTCTTCTACTTCGAGTAACAATAATAATAGTACCAAAGCTACGCACAGTCCGAGACCAAGCATATTAAGAAAACGTGAACTTGGTGGCGATCACCACGGTCATACCAGTGCGTCTCGTGCCCAAAGAAATTTGTCCCTCCAACTCAACTTCTCCACGTCAAACTCTACCAATTTTACGTCAAGTAGTAACAAAGAGAACTCCTCCCTATTAGATAAGTTTTCAAGCGGGTTAAGTGGTAGTACAAGTACAAGTATAACTAGCTCAGGGGGTGGTGGTGGTGCTACGACAGGGACAGGAGTGAGCATTTTAAAGAAAGAGTTCCAACCTCCAACAGAAGAATCTTCGTGGCAATCGGTCAGTTCGAACTCAAGTTCGGGATCCTCAACAATTTCCACAACGTCAGAAACGGCAGAACTCCAACTTCAACAACAATTAACGGGTGGCATTGGTGGTGGTGGTGGTGCAGACCTCAATCTAAGTACCATGAGTTTACCTCACTCTTCGGAAATTTCAGCATCAGCCTTTCTAGGACTTGGGTCCTCCCTCTTAACTAATTCTATATTAAGTGGTGGTGGTGGAAAAAATAGTAGTAGTACAACAACGACTTCCACGACATCGACTATTGGTGGTTTGACTGCTGGTGGACTAAGTATAAGCTTAGCCAATATTGGTAGTGGTGTGGGTGGCGGTAATAGTAGTACAACCATACCGACATCTTCGTCGTCGTCATCATCACAGAATCAAAATCAGAATGGGGTCTTACGAACCACTAATCAGCCCAGGTCTCGAAGTTCGTCCACGTCTGTGGGAGCCAAAGGAGCCAACAAGGATGTGGAACGCCTTAAGAATAAAGACAAAGACTTGGATGCAGTCAGTCCGAGGAAAAAACCTAGAAAGCAACAACTGTAAGTTAAATTAACTAAAATTTTTCTAGTTAGGAGTTAAATGTAAATTTCTAAAACCTGTATTTTATAAATATGTGTTTCCTTCCAGAACATCAAGTGACTTGTTGGAAGCTGCGTCTCCTGAAATTTACTATCAAGGAAAGGGAAAACGATTCCGGAAGGGAGACCTGAGTAAGTTCACCTATACATCACAAATATATATATATTTAGCATGAATGGTGCAGTTACTAATTGTCGATTTGATCTAATTAGTGGATTTTACTGAGGGGATAACGGAAAAAGAAAAAGTACCGGTGGACCCCATCCCCGAAGAACCTCCTCCACCACGAATTGTCTATTATGTGAAAAGACCTCACATGTCCCTTGTGCAGAGCAACTGTTTTCCTCCTAAACCTCTCACAACGCATTTTCAAAGATACTGTGATGTCAAGGCGAGGGATGAAAAGCGGCCTACAATTTCCGAGCTAGCCAATCAAAAGAATATTTTAGAGAAAGTGGGTGGCTGGAGAGTGAAACTTATGACTAATCAAATGCAGGAGCTTGTAAGTATCTATTGAAATGAAATTGCTTGAAATATTTACCTGCTTGTAATGTAAATTTTCTATACAAATTTTTACTCAATTCCTTTAATTACAGGTTGATAATGAAAATGGTGTCGTAGACGATTGTTCCAACCTTCTCAATAGATTAGAAAATAAAGTAGGAGTAGGACCTAGCCGTGGTGACCGAGATCTCAATATTGTTATGGAACTGCTCAAGGTAAGCCAAGCTAGCTAATAATATTTTTTGTTTCTATTTCCTCAAAAAACTCAAATTAATTATCAATATTGATTGGTTGATGATTATTCTGTTGCAGGGGAATATTCAAAGGTGTAAAGTGATTCGTGATCAAATGTCCGACTCGAAAGCATTAGCAGTTAAGATCTTAGACCATAAGGTTACCGTGACGGAAGTAATAACAAAACACTCTTGTAAACGACCTATGGCAAAGAAGAGAGTGTTGTAGCCTTATCTAATAATCAAGGATGACAAGCCCTCGTCTCCTCAGAATTGGGGATGACATCCCGTGACAATTTATATGATTGACAATGTTTGAGACGAGACAACAAGTATTTATCTCCCAAAGCAACAACACCACGATTGCTTGAAATTTAGTATCTGGGTAACGCCTGGGAACACTACTAACGTTAGGTAGATACTGAATGTCCAGCAATCGTGTATAGATACTATATATTTCATTGATCTTATCGATTCACCGTGATTTGAATGTGTTTTTTATAATTATTACTAGTTATTATCTTAGTATTTGTTACTACTAAAATTATCATCTTGACTTCTCACATGAAATTCAATACTTGCATTCATTGAGACGTAGAAAAGACAGCAGACATAACGTGCACTCAAAGCTATTGAGATGAATATAAATAATAGCGTTTCAAAAATCTAGTTTTACAATGACACGCCACAACAAAAGTACTACTACCATTAAATAAGACGGTGTTTTTCCATCATAATATTTTTAATTGACTTAATTATATCTATATTATATGTAATATGTAAAACTAGCTTGTAACAATTATCTAGTGTCTGAATAAACTGACAGTGTGCAAACCAAATATATGCAAAAACAGGGATTCTCTACTACTACTAAATACCTACCAGGACTTGTCCTTCCTATTAAATGTTATTATAAATATGCAATACATTTGCATAAATGAAAAATGACTACTACCAACCACACCTTATCAACAACAACGTTATATTCTATCGTTTGACTGGACTTTTGGATTTCAAATGTACAATATATGCATTAAATGCTATACTATACGTCAACAAGCTACAAATTAATTTTTTTATAACAACAACAACAATTTCGTGTAAGTTTAAGTCTAAGAAATTTTAACTTTAACTTTCTGAAATTTAAAAAAACGTCAAAACTTTATAGGTTAATTTAGTTAGTCAGTTTTAGACAGATGAAAAGCATCGTCATTAAGGACTTGTTCACTAATAAAGGACAAGTATTAGATATAGGAAGGAGTGGATAATAATAGTTAAGGTTTTTAAATCATGAACAATTAATTATTATTATGACCTCTTTGCAAGAGTTAATAAATGAAGAATTATTTTGTACTTAAATAACTCAATAGCAGGAAGGAAGGATTCATTTCAGGCTCTAATTTACAGTGAGTCGCATGCATGCAGAATATTTGCATGCAAAAAATGCTTGCGCGTTTCCCCATTCCTATTTTTCCCAGGACTTGTTTGGCATGACAACTTTCACCAGGATAAACCCAAACGAAACTTGTGTTCGAGCATGAAATATAAACTCTGAGAAATTCATCACTTTCACCTCAGTCTGGAAGAGTAGAGAGAGAAAAGAGCTCGACTGCAACATCGTGTAGCTCACTCTCACCCAAAATTCTAAATTCTTGTACATACACACATATACTTTTCACAATTCGGACTTAATTGGCACTAAGACAAGATTATCCTGATCAGACAGAGGGGTTTCAAAATTTCTGCAAATTTCAACACTGGAAAAAATAACGGTTCGTGGAATAGTTAATTGTATGAAAATGTTTTAAGTAGTAAAACTAACGTGAAATATATACACAGAGCTTAGTTAGACCCCAATACAAATCATCATCCTCATCATGGACCTTAAGAAGGAAGGACAACCTCAGTCTCGACCAAAGTCGCCAAAATCTCAGAAGGGCTCCTCCCTCTCCTCCATGGCCAGTCATGTCTCTGGCAACAACAACGTTCCCCATCCTCCATCCACCCCAAATAATAACAACATCACTGCAACGGTCCCCACTTCCGGGAGTCGTAGCAAGTCTCCCACTGCAAATCGCTCCTTGACACCGCAAGAACGGTCGAAACTTGCCCGGGACAAATTTCAGAGCCTGCTTCTCTCCGCCAACAAAGTCCAAGCCCATCAAACTCTTCCCCCCGGAAGTTATGGGATTGGAATGAAACCTTCGTCCACGCTTGGAACGACTGCACAAATGCATGCGGCCGCCGTATTGGCACAGATGAGTGCAAATGTTGCAGCCGCGACGGGTGCGATTTCTCTAGTTTCGGCGAACAATGCGTCATCTTCGTCATCGCCACCGCCGCCAGTTCCGATATCACAGCAGCAGGTGACAAGTACAACTCACGGAGGTCACATTCAGACCAGTGTCGTCGCCCCGGTTGCAAACACAGTCCGCGCAACGACACTTGCGACATCGGCAAAAACGAGAAATAATCCCAACCAGTTTCCCAACATTGATCCGAGAACGTTTCCCAAGCCGTTGAATCCTACAAATCCAAATCCAGTTATCGTGAAGCAGCCCAACATGGCGAAATCTGTGATGGGGTTGGACAGGAGTAAGAATATGAGAGCGTTCGTGGAGAAAGCTATTGCTGTGAGTTATGAATGACACGATAATTGCTGTGCCCTTTACACACATACTTATTTAGGATGATTATAATTAATTGTTCTGTTAATTATTGTTAGGAGCACAAGGTCTTTTCCTGCGTTGGAGTGTACCCCGCGATCAAGAATGCGTTAAAGAAGCGAGGCTGGGTGGAGAAAACGGGTCCCATCAATGTCATCCGGTCAGCGAGTGTGCCCTTTCGACCTGGTACGCTCCAATTCTCTCGTTAATTAGTGCTAATCATGGTTGGAATTGGCACATCTTATTTAATTCATGTGCAAAAACATACGGAGTTATTTGCACATTTTTCTGAATAATTTATTTCGTACGTACATCTGTATATTTTATGGCCTAAAATATTACCCGTGATTCCGCAAAGAATGGGAAAAAGTGGAATGTTCTCACGACATGTGGTCACACCAATAAGAATGAAATCCCGTGGTCATTTCTGTTTCTTTCCGAGTTGAGGTTTGGTACGTTGGTCGATTCACTTTCTCTTGCTTGATGACTTGGTTGCTTACACAATTTGCTGCTTTCTCTATGCTCCAATTCATGAAAAAAAACACGAAAGAAAAAATGAGATAATAATAAAGCAGGAAGTTTGTGAAAAAAAGTGGATGAATGCGAGGGTGGTTATAAACAGTCGGTTTTTTTGGCATGTGCACGTAGGACTTTGTTGGATTGGACGCTTACTCCAACTTTCACCAGCCTGAACGAACATTCATCCTTTCTTCGCACAATAGGGTTCAGGTGGTGACCATGAAATCGGGTTTTCTTCTTTCCTACTACTATTGGTATGTATTTGGTTTTTGTGAGTTAATGTTAATAGTCATTGGTTGGTTGGTTGGTTGTGAGGCGAGAAATCAGGTCACACGCAATTCGGGTATTTCTGTGACTGGTACTTTCCTGTTCTTCTTTCGTTCCGTCACAAAACTCTGTCCATGTAGGATTTTTTCGCTGTCCATTATTCATCCCGTATCCATTATTCTTTCAAATGTGCGTATCATATTTCAAATCAGAGAACGGAACGAAGAGTAAAAACATTTTTATTCTGTTTTCTTCTTATTAATCAAGCCAGGACGAATTGCATGGAACGGGGCGATTTTATTTGAGGGAAGAATGTGGACATTTCTAAAGAGGAATTCTTCATTCGTTCGTCTCATGTGTTGTGTAAGTAAAATTGGAATATGCGACCCAGTTCATGATCTATTGTCTCTTTCTCTTGATTTGGTTGTGGTTAGCATAGACAGACATTTGTATGTTTATTCCACCGACTACCTGTCACCTGTGCTGTGGTGGTAGTTCGATTAATGCTTAGTTTCCGTCGTTGTATCGTAATTTACACGTGGGGACGTACATTATTAAAAGGTTGGTTAACGGGAAAAGTGAGACTGGCTTTCCTAAACTTTCACCAAACTATGTATACATATGCAAAAGTTGAAGAAAAAATAGACTCATCTTATGAATCTAGGCTACATCGTTGCCCTCAATTTTCTTATTGCTCTTGATAGATCGATCAGTAGATAGGAATGAGATTCAGGAATTAGCCGGAAGTGAAAATATGGGGCACGGGTAAATGTCTCGAATGATATTCTATTGAAGGTATTAAGGATATGTTCCCATATTTCCGGAACGTGGGTCGTTTCAGACATTATCATACATACTGCTACTGTTGCTTTGACGAGTTTTCTTACCTGTTGAACTTGTGTAGCCGTACTTATATACACACAAAAGCATAATTTCTGTTGTTCATATTTTGCTGCGACACGCATTCATAAAGACAAACGCACCCAATTTCTAATGACGGGATGAATACATCATTAGCTGGAAATTGCCCCATGGCACGCACGCATTTCGCATATGCTTTTAGACAATTTGCGCTTTTGTTTGTAAATAAATATTCACGACATTCCTGGGAAATTTGTGTACTTATTAACAAGTCAGACATGAATTTTGTGACATATACATAAGTAGCTTGCTAAAACTTGTCAATGTTAAGGATCGCCTGTGTATTTGCAGGTGAAAAAAAGACAACGCGTCCAAATATTTACACAACTTTCACATTACATTCTTCTGATTATTATGAACGATTTTCTTTCATGTTTTAGAACCAAGTGGAACTGATGATGAATCCGATGCGGCCTGGATTGCGAGAAATTTGCGAGATTATCCCCCAGATTTTATTTGGGTCATACGCCGTGATAACATCGATTGGAAAAGTATGGGAAAGGATCAAATGGTGCGTTTCGATCTTCTTTCGTCCTCTTTGAAGATACATAAATATTTTCAGAAATTTTTGGAATTTTTTTATTTTATGATACTATTTTCCTCTAATTTAGATCAACCGATACCCTAAAGCCTGGTTTACCACAAAGGTCAATTGAATATCTTGATAAAATATGGTCAAATTTTCCAATAAATTCGCAACTTTTTGTTCCCTTTTTCTAGGTCGGGTTGTCCGCTTGTCTCCAACAAATCCACTGGTTCAGCGAGGCCGGATTTTCTGAAACCTTCTTCCCCAGATGCTACCGTTTGTGCATGGACGACGAAAGGGCTGCCTTTCAAGACGACTATCGCCTCACTGCCTGCATGAGTTATTGTCGATACTTTGTTGAAAACTACGAGTCCAAAGGAGCAGCCTGGTTGATTGATCCTCAAAGTAGAATCACCCCACTCTCCATCGACTTTGCGTCTCGTCAGTTGGGCAACTACATCAGAATGAGGCGTCATGAAGACATTGATTGGCTTCTCCCCCCAAATTTCAGTAAATTCTCAGTTTTTTGTATTTCTTTGGTCGGGTTCACTTTAGATACTCTTTTTTGGTGCAGTGTCACAACATTGGGAAGCCTTTATTCATCAGTACGTCATGGTTGTACATGAAAAGAAGAAGATCCGGTTCGAGAGTTTGGAGGGTGTCAAGGTAAATTTGTAGTATTATTTTTAGATGATAATGACATCATAAAACGTACTTTTGACCAGATGAAGTACGACATTGCGAAAAAGACGCTCCAGCGGATCGCACAATACTGGCCGCAAGCCGATCTGGACGGTGTGTATAACATGTGGATTTGCAAACCGGGTGCGAGGTCTCGAGGAAAGGGAATCGTAATTATGAATTCGCTCGAAAAAGTCTTGGACCTTTTGAACCACGGGAACTCACGAGAGTAAGTAATAATTCATAATTTTGGAATAATAATAATGTTATATATGTATAAAATTTCAGAGCAAACTGGGTTGTCCAAAAATACATGGAGCGACCCATGCTCGTCTACAAGACAAAGTTCGACATCCGGCAGTGGTTTGTTATCACGGACTGGACCCCGTTAACCGTGTGGTTTTACAAGTGAGTTTTTAATCATTTTCGAAAAAAAATGTGTTAAAAACTAAATTATCACTAATTATTCAAAATCTTCAGGGAAAGCTACATCCGGTTTTGTACGAAACCATTCGTGCTCGAGGATTTTCATGAGAGTATCCATCTCTGCAATAACGCGATCCAGTGTCGCTATCAGAATGCGGAATCGAGGTGGAATATTTATAGATTTCCAATACTATGCAATTGTATTTCGTGCTTAAAATTCTACATTCGTGTCACAGAGACGCTGCACTTCCGGACGAGAACATGTGGGATAACTACACTTTCCAAGCTTACCTGAAAACGATTGGGAAAATGGATCAGTGGACCAAGATTTACGCTGGAATGAAACAAGCAATCATCGGCGTTCTGCTGGCATCGCAGGAAACCATTGAATCTCGAAAAGGTTGTTTCGAACTATACGGAGCGGATTTCATGCTCTCTGAAGATTTCACTCCTTGGCTCATCGAGATCAACTCGTGCCCTTGTATGGCCTCCACGACGAGCATCACGGCCAGAATGTGTGCCCAGTGTTTAGAAGATACGATCAAAGGTGAGTTAAAATACTTGTTATACGCCATGTAAGTTGGAGTATGCGCATATTTAGTATTCAATTTGCTTGTTAAATTGCAGTTGTTGTTGATCGTCGTCTAAATCGGAACGCCGACACTGGAATGTTTGAAATGGTGTATCGTCAACGTAAGTTGTAATATTAATACAATTGAGGTTAATTATTTAATGTACTTTAAATAAATTATTCCACAGCTCTCAGTGCTGTCACAGTCCAACAGTTTACGGGACATGATCTTGTCATTCATGGGAAAAAGTTGACCCGAGATATCGACTGGCCAGGGTTAGCTTCACTTAAATCATGAAGGTCATGACATCACCCTAGTCGCTATTAATGAATTAATTAATTTGATAGGACACTCAGCACCAAGAGTTCCCAAATTCGGAGAACATCTTTCATCACGAACAGCGTCTTGGGGAAAAGTCCACCCAATGTGATCAGCCCCCAGGAGAACCTCACTTTCTCCGATCTCCTCCAAAAACTGAGGATGAAGAACACCCAGCTCTTTCAAGGCTACGTGACCAACACGCAGGCCCAGACTTTGGCTGCTGTCGCGGGGGAAACGGCTGACCGGAGTCTGACCGGGACACTGCTCTCCAAGATGAGGGCGTTGAGTAAGGTGAAACAGGACATGGGGGGAGCGACTGAGATGAATGAAATCATTCCTGGGATGAAGAAAGTTTATCCGAAACCGAGTAAGTAGTATTCTTATCTTATAAATATTACAGATTGAATTAATTTGTATGAAAATTATGCGCTAATTTCAGCTGTCAGTAAAGCTATAAAAGAAGGCCCAGAAGGAACGTTGTCGCACTTGTCGAAGTATTTCGAAGAGAACAGCAGCACCTTTGCAAACTTGGTGCATAATTTTAAAATTTGCTTAAATTTTGATACTTCAAAATATACATTTGTAGGATAATCGGAATAATTACGATATTTTTCACAGGTCCGAATCGGGAAGGAAATCTCCGACGAAGAGAAGCACGGGATCGAGACGTCAGACGCTGCTGGTACCTCGAGTCCGAATAAACTTCGTCCAGGAACGTTTGGTCCAAATTTGAGACGACCCAGCATAATCGCTGCAGGAAATCCATACCTTCCTAGACCAGAAACGGCGAAAACTTTGGAGGAAGTTCGACTAGCGGTTAATGCAGCTAGTAATAAGTATGGTAAGAGTGTAACACCGATAGACAATGGTCAAAATAGTGATAATTATTATGATGATGTTACCACGACGAATAATGACCCAGTTCTGTTAGATAGTACTAGTAGTAGTTCAGACCTAATTATTCCCTCCTCCTCCCCCTCCGACAGCTGGATCGATAGCTCAGAAGCGGATGTCATCGTCTCCGGGCAAGAGGAGGTCAAAGAAAAGTTTGAGACAATCTCCGAATGCCATCAGGGCCCGATATCCATGACCTCTGACCCATCCCCCTTGAATCCTGACACAGCCACCAGTCTAGACTTATCCACCAACAATGCCGACCTATCCACTCCTTTAAACAAGCCTGATCATCTCCTCATAGACCTAAAACTCGAGGGTAACTTTCACTTTCAAGACATTTTGAATAATAATTTGGGATTTCCTTCGTCCACCTCGCAGTCTGATTCTTCGGACGATTCGGATGAATCTAATTTTACTCCTACCTCCATCCTTAACCCTGCATCGCTTTTACTCTCCCCTTCCAGGTCTTGTAGTAGTGGTGACAACGGCACCTTAAAATCTAGGTCTACCCCGTTTCGTCGACCCTCCCTAGCTAATTGTAAGTTAAGACCTGCGACTTCCAACAAGGGGGTACGTGGCCGTGGGGGGAATAAATTTCCCTGCCATCGGATAGCCTTGAGACCTTCGAGTTCAGCAACGAGGAAATCATCACTGCCTACTTTCCCCGTGAGTAAAATTAATCTTAAACTTGTGTAATCTACATTTACATATTTTTCAAAATGCATGTGAATTCATGCAATCATACAATGTCAAATGTAGCATAGTGTATGTACTTATTATTATTTCTTCATTATTATCGCTACCACATAATTAATCTGGTCACCGAAAGCAGTACCGTACCAACCGTGGTATATGGTGGTAGCAAATACCAGGCCCGGGCCCCGGGCCACGTCGCTTGCTTTACACTAGATATAATCGACCTCTTGTATTTTGACGATTTTAGAAAAGAATGCGCTGAAAAATCTTCGAAAAATTAAATATTGAGCTAATATTTTTGTATGTGAGCAATTGTTCTAATTCTTGAGTATTTTTTGCAATGGTTAAATGACTCAATACTCACTCTCCTTGGCTATATTAAGATCTTAATTTCATCAGCATGTGATTAGAATTTGATTATGAGTGTGTAGTCAGAGATAATCAGAGCAATTGGATCAATTATGTTAGATTTGTTAAGCTTTGACGTGACTTCAAAAAACTCAAAATTTGTATTGTTAGAATTAACTGTATCTGTAATTTTCAAAGTTGCATATTTTGAAATTCCAAATTGGAGACTTGAAATTTTTAGACATTCTACAACGAACAAAACTCGCTGTCAAACATCAATGGTTTAATAAGCATGGGAACGCTTACTGTCTCACCTCGATTTCGGTCCAAATTTTCTTTCAGTCTTAATTGATAGATAATTTTGTGCAACTTAAAGCAACTTTGTGATACAAGATAAGGTGAGAAACCAAACTTCGCACAATATTAGGAGAGAGCTGTATCAATCGTGATTATTCAATTGCTTTAAAAATAACCTAACGCTTTCGGAATGTGGAAATAAACATGAAATACCCAAACATCTATAATTATACTCAACTCACCAAGACATGAAATATGTGATGCAAATATTTTCCTATTTTTTGCGAATTTGAAATTTCATTTTTAGTTTTATTTAAATCCAATAAAATTTAAAACTTAGTTTATGCACAATAAAAAAGTTTTCAAAGAGAACCCTTTTTCCCAATAAAATTTGGCTAAATATGTATTCCAAAATTGAATTTCATGTTTTTTCATGAAAAGTAACAAAATGTCAGTTTTGAAGCAAGCTCAATGTCATCTAGGTGAGCACTATGAGTCTAAAGAAGGTATGAGAAAGTTATTGGATATGTCTCACGATTCAAATTTCGAAGTTTGTTTGATTACAAAGTTTTTTGTAATCTCTACCAATAAATGTAGCAATCCATTTTGGAACATTCGTAAAATTCCAGCAGAGTAATTCATGAAAAATCCTTTCGGTGTTTTTAAATTTAGTCATATGTTGCTATAAGAAGAAAAAATTTGATTTTATGAACTTTTTTGCTTGGTCTATAAAAGGAGCCTGACTTTTTAAACTTTTTTTGAAAAACAATAAAAATCAAATTTTAGGAAATTTTACATATTTTCTTAATTCGCAAAAAATGACAAGTATTTGACTCACTTTTTTGCGGAATGGTGATCAGCATGAAATTTTCAGTGGCTTTTGAACATAATTTAGAAAGTGTTCAATTCGTAATTCCGATAGAAGTTGGTTATATCAAATGCAGAGGAAAAATTACACGTTAATTTGCAGCTAAACATGTAGAAGATAATCGAGATCGGACTGTACTGAAGGTTCCCTTGTATTGAGATAAAATTTACAGTACTTAAAGATTTGCGTGCAACTTGAGTACTTTTGAATTTTCTACTTGCCGTTAGAATTTTCAAAAATATGGTTATGTTACAAATGCAAGTAATTAGTAGCTACATATTAGTTGGAACTGCAGTACCCGCCTAACATATTTTGGGGCGAAAATGTTGTACATAATAAATAATATTTAAATTGTGAAAAGGCCCGGTCCCTAAACATACCAGGCCCGATAATTTGGCGGTACGGCTCTGACCGAAAGTGTTCTCTCGTAAAATATCAACTGCCGAAAAAAAGACGATCATCTTTTATCCAACCATGTGGGATTATGTGTGAACAATAACTTTTAGAACATATTTATATTGTAATCGTAGCATGTGCATGTTTTATTTCATAGCTTTAATTCTGTACGTGAAAACAGTAAAGTGTGAACCGGGAGGCTTACGTATTAATTATACATGCAGATTAGATGGTAAACAATATTTTGAACGTATCATTATAGCCATATAATTATAATGTAGTAGTAAATGCATATCTCGTGAATATTCAGTTCATGAATATTGTTATCAGTACTTGTGGTAAATTCATCTCCCGAACAGAAAAAAAGAAAATTATCTTAAGCGCAAACTAATAATTATGTTTAAAAAAATGCTAACTCGTCTATACATGTATCTTCTGAACTAGTAACACAATAAAAACCTGATTTATTTTAATTCTAACAACTATGACGAGGGAGGTTTGAGAGCAAATGAGAGTCGAGGACGTGAATTTTTCTTGCCAAGGATTTTGATTTGTTCGGATTTCACTGACTTTTCCATGTCCCTCTCCATTCTCTGCCTCTCCTCGTCAAATCGTCGCTGTTCTTCCACCATGGCTAAGCGTTCTTCAGCCTGTGCAATTAAAATAGCATATAGATATTAGTGTACCATGGCATATTAAAAATTACACAAGAATTAATGTATGTACGAATTTAAGTACTCACCAATTTTCTGTGCGCTTCTTCGATTTTCTTATTGTTTTCCTCCATTATCCTGAAAACAAAATAAAAAATCATACAAATTATGAATGTACACATGCACAATTGCTTGACTTTATTTATCATAGTAACGCTCTATAACGGTTGCGCATTATGGAGAATTATTTCCCAAACATGTTTTCTTGCTCTTCTGCATGCATTCCATTCCACATGCAATTCCAACAAACAAATGCAATAAAAATCCAGAGATCATGATTAAACTTGTCTTTTTCTGTCGTCTGTCGTCTTCCAACAATTTCTCAAATTTTTAGTTTTCTCACAATAATTTCAGTTTCTAATAAAAATACCTAGATTATTGCTGTCACCTATCATCATTAATTCCCAGTTTCTGCCGAAAATACAGGTAATGCACCTAATTGGTTCTTTCCAATCATCCCTTTCAATTTATCTATTCCAATGATTTTGTTCTCGTCTTCGTGCCTTATTATATTGACGTTAATTAATTTTATCCATTTCATTTCATTTCAGGATCATGCCACCCACAAAGAAGACAGAGGGCAAGAAAAAGTTACCACCACTTCAGCAACTCCGGAAGCAGGGGTATAAGTCGAAAACGGTCAAGACGGTCAAGTGTCCAGTCCCGGACTGTCCTGCCTGGTGCAAAACGAAGGATGCGCTTCGGAAGCATACAAAAATGTATCACATGGGGACAGTAGAACAGTAAGTTTCCACTTTGTTTATGATTGACTTAATACTTCTAATTCTAAGAATTCACACCGTACTAATGAATTGTATATTCTACTCTATATTTTCATAGGCGAACTGAGATAACGCAACGGAAGAGGGAGGCCACACGGAGGACTTTCGCGAGCCGAGAATTCAAGCAGTACATTCAGTACATGGACAAAGTCCCTATCAATCAAGGACCAGTGGACCACGATGGATTCATCAACGGAATTGAGAAGAATATGAGGGAAGTCATCACTCAGGAAAGGGAGGCAGTCACCACCAACTACTGGGGTAACGTGATCATCCTCCTTCCAGCCGAAGCCGAAAAAATCGGAATACAAGAATTTTTAAAACAACACCACAACGACCCGTCGTGCATTGGATTCGTCTACATTGGGAGTTGTGCTGACAGTGGAGGGTGTGAAATGCATCAAAAGCTAGTTCTAGACGGCAAATGTCTATCATCTCCAGCAGCGATGTTGCTCGAAAAGGACGAAGGCGGAAACCTAAAATATTGCGGCTTTTTCCATGTAAGTAAACTATTTTGCAATTATATTAATTGGTGATGTGCGGGTAAGGTGTGGGTGAGTTACGAGTGAGAGGTGGGTGACTTATGTTACTTATTTTTCACAAACAGGAATTTGAAGGAGTAGATGATGTTGACGAGACTGGAGAAAATAAAATACTCAGATGGGAAGCATTTTATACGGTAAGTGTACAAATCTCAACATGTATTTGTTAAACGCGACTGGGAATATATACAATGCATCTTGTTGTTTTTGTTATTTTGCAGTACTTGGCACAATGCAACAATACTACGCAGATGTCTGCCACTCAAATGAATTGGACTTATTTAAACCAACGGGTTGAAATCAAACAGGGAATCAAATCTGGCCTCACTCTTTCTCACATTTTTATGGCTGCGCATCTAGGATGGATGAGAGGCAGTGTTGTTGGACCGCAAATGGGACATTGGGAGGGCGAAAGATTCCAAATTTGTTTCAAATACGAATGTTTCCGTCCCTTCAACACTGCAATGCCGGCAGAAGATGCTGCAAAACATGAAAATCCTGATTTTCAATCAAGACAGTTTGGGCTTCACTCCACAGCGGAAAGGAATTGGGTCTGCGAAGAATGTGGACAGCATTGCACAACGGATGGCGCCTTGTACCAACATCTTCGACTTTACCACAACTTTACAGAGGAGGAGTAAGTTGACATTTTTTTCAAATACCTTTTTACTGTTGGGTTAAGACGTCCTATCTATTTTTGCAGACGGGAAGAGCATCGTCAGCATCGTCGAGAAACCAATGCAAAGGAAAAAATCAAGCACCGGTTCCATTCCTACATTCACCACGCCGGATCAACACCAATCTTCAGCGGACCTCTTGAGCAAGACGGATTTGTCAATGAGATAGAAGAAGAAATGAGACGTGTCATCCAAGTGGAACGAGCAGCGGCACAGAAGAACTACTGGGGATACTGGTTGACGATTCTCCCGTACGCTGCCAAATCCATTGGATTGCAAAAATACTTGGAGGACAACTCACACGATCCAACTTGTTTCGTGTTCAATTATGCCGGGAGCTGCGGTGTTCAAGGAGGGTGCAACATCCACGAAAGAAAAGCTCGTCTGTCATCCCCAGCAGCCATGCTACTCCAGAAGGATGATGAAGGAAACCCAAAGTATTGTGCTTATTTACATGTAAGTTAACCATTTTACAATTATATGAATTAATGAGCAATGGGTGATGTGTGGGGAGGTATTGGTGAGCTATGGGTGGGCGTGGTGTGGCACACATGCACATTGGGGCCGGCCAATGGTAGGAAATTCCATAAATTGTTAGAATACTTTTTTTGAAATATTTGTGCATTTTTGATGGTGTGGGGTCGGAAAGTACGCATAGTATAATTTTGGTGTGACCACACCCCCCTGGGGGAGGAGTTGTCGCCGCACTAGGGGGTGTGGTTTTGAAAACTATTTCATTCGATAGATCTTTGAAAGCTACCCCAAAATGGTAACAGCTACAGCCCCGTACTACACTTCAAAGCAAAGTTATCGACGTTCAAAAATCGAAATTTTGCGTTTTGCGCCAACTTTGCGACCTCGTGGCGCAGTGCGCGACCGCATTCACGAGGTCGTAGATATCGCAAACGACGCTACCCACCCTGGACTTCCACCCTAAGAAAAAGATTGATGTGGGCACGCCTTGTTTGGCGACAGGAATTTTTTCAAAATCCTCAAAAATATAGCCGAAATAGCTGGATTATGCACACTAAAAAAAGGGTAGCTTCACCTATTTTATGCAAAGACTTCCGTCTGTCAGCAACGGATAGAGATAATCGAAATCGGTTTGCGGCATCATACATATTACCCCAGGAGGAGGATTCTATCAACCTTTGAGGTCAACCGGACCACACCCTTTTCCACCAGGGGGTGTGGTCGGGGCATGATCTCATTTTGCCATGTACAATGCCATGAGCATGCCATGTACATGGCATGCTCACCCACACCGTGTGGGTGAGCTATGGGTGACTTTATGTTGTGTATTTTCACAGGAATTTGAAGCAGTCGATGATGATAATGAGACTGGAGAGACCAAAATTCTACGCTGGGAATCGTTTTTTACAGTAAGCTAACCTAATCTGAGTGTAAATTCGTATTTTCATTTCATGCATTTTATTTTAATGCATCTTTTGTTGATTTTCAGTATCTCGCCCAATGCAATAATCGCACAAAGCACTCCACCGACCGCATGAATTGGGTCTTTTTGAATATGCGTACGGAAGTGAAGCAAGGACTCAAGGCTGGCTTGACTCTTCCCCACATTTGGGGTGCCACCCGCCTGGGATGGCAACGCAATCCATTTGTGGGACCTGCAGCAATTTACTGTGGCGAGTTCCCAATCTCATTTAATTACGACGGCTTCCGCCTGTATGAAATACCACTCAAACCAGAGGATGTCAAACCTAATGCAGTGGCTCAGAAGATGAAGCTGATCGAGGAAATATTAACTGAATAGTGTACTCACCTCTCAAGTTCCTCGCGTTTCTTTCGCTCTTCCTCCTACACAAAGGGAAGAGAAAGTATTAGACATGTTTCAAACCTCGGATGAAAGCAGGAGTACATAGCAAATATGTCACGGCATATAGTGTAGAAGAACAACATAATTAATATAACTTTAAATTTAATGGACCTGTCACTCTTTTTATGAAATCTTAACCCACTGAGGCCAGTACTAGCAAAGTAGTTTTACTTATCACTGCGGGGGTCCTACATGAATACATTAGATTAAACAAGTAGGCAGCAAAGTGTGGAGTAGGTACTGAGTGGGGACAGTTTTGTTTAGGTTTTAAGCTAAAATCTACAATTATTATTGGAATCATATAGTTAATCTAATAGTTTGTTGAGTTATTCTTAGGAAATTTTGTGAGGGAAATAATAATAGTAATAATAATTATAATTGAGATTCCGTCGGCCGCAGGATGTCAATGAGGGAGTCGGAGTCCTCTTGCTAAAAAGAAATTAAAAATGATTTGGATAATAGGTACATAAAAACTACCTGTCACGCCGTGCGTGGTCCATTCCGTAAAGTAGTTTGTTCTTTTTTTCGATCGTACGAGATCAATAAGCGTCACGCACAACTACTCGTCAAACTTACCAATTTCTTAGCTGACTGGACTTCCAGAGAGAGAAATGACTACATTATGAAAGATTTTGACTGCTCCGTCATCACCAAATCACCAGTCACGAAAGCTTCATGACATCATGACAAAGTTTTCTCTCTCAAAAGGACTGGAACAAAGTGGTTTAAGGTATGCAACGACAACGTGCGTCTATATATATGGAATTGCTCTCCGTCTCGCTCTTGTCTTACACACGTAAGTTAAGATAAGGCTACGTCAGTCGTGATGATAGGTCGATGGCATGATGCGATCACAACTACAAAAGCAGTTAGCTACAGTTTTACAATAGCTTTGCACATCTAGTCCGAGCATTAATATGACAGATGATACAGCACGGCTACTAGAAATAAAGTGTAAGTCTCTGGTCTTTTAGCAAATAAACGGTAGATTTCTGATGGATGGGCCTAACCCTAACCCATGGATGGAAAAAACAAGTAGGTATAATAATTTGCCCATAAACCAGCCACTAATTTCCATGTTAGCTCTGCTCCATTCCATGAATGCCATTAGCCCATTTTATTTAAGACCATTTGAATTAAACGTCTACTGCTGAGGGAAAGAGGGTGACCCACCCATATGCAATCTACAGTCTAATTGTTCCAGACCATTCATATTGATTTGATTTCACTTGATTGTATTAAAATTGGGAAACATATATTTCATTTTTATCTCTGAGAAAGTTGAAATAAAAAATATATATTCAATATCACAGTCAGACCCATAGGTACTAGGTTCTACTAGGTTTGTACAATTAATTAATTAATGGTGATCGTCAACTATAGTCATTTGATTCGTATTCTTAACCTCATTCTGACTGAATTTCTGATTCTACTAATACTGCAATTGCAATTTTTTATGGAGCAGAGCGAGAGCGAGGAAAAAAATTAGTGTGGAAATTCTTGGATGATACTGCAAAGCAAAATCTTCCTCGACAACCCCCCTTTTAACAAACACGTCATCGTCACTACAGTTTACGGTGGGCGCTGATGGAGCTGACGACGAGATCTGAGGAAGGTTGACATAGGAGTGGGTGTGGTGGTGGTAGTAATAGCAAAAAATGAGCTTGACGACCCCACAACAACCGAGCTGTTGACTTGGAGGACTTGGATCCTCGTCGTCATCTTCCATTAACAACAATTTGGGAGTATTTTTAAGAAGCAGGAAATGACTGAGAGAATGGTGAGCTACCTCTCGTTTCCGTTCTTCCTCCATCGCTTGAGCTTTCTGGAGTTGTAACTCTTTCATCATCTCTTGTTCGAGGGCTTCCTTGGCGGCCGTCACTCGTCGCAAGACTTCTTCCTCAATTTCCTCGCGACGACGCTCCAGTTCTTCTTCAACCCTTTTCGCCACCATTTCTTCGATCCGTTTGGCCGTCTCTTCTTCCACGAGTCGCGCTTCCAACTCTTTTTGTCGCCTGCGAATGACAAATATTCATTATAATTTTTCAGCCATAGCTTGCCTAGCTTGTACTAGTGCTAAGGTATGAAATTAATGATAATACTGTCGCATGGAAGGTAAAAGAAATAAATCTATAGTTAAGAACTTAATTCTACTCTCTCCACATTCATTTCTTTGCCCGTTATCTGGAGACCGGCCTTATCATTAACGGAATAAGCAGGTTGTGAGTAACGGGCCAGTAATAAAAATAAATCATAATTAAATTACTTCTACAGCAGTCAATACAATACCTTTGTCTCTCTAGCTCGGCCAGTCTTTCAATCTCTTTCGTCGGGTGATTGCTACGACTTCGACTTCTCGACGGGGCTGAACTATCACTGCTGCTGCTTGACCTATTTTTAAGGGAGAAAAAGAAAATCAATAAATTAGCTATACCCATCTTTTATGCCTTTGTACTACTAATTTAATTCAGACTTACGACGATCTCGGCGACCTTCTTGACTGTTCCTTCCTATTTTTCCTCTCTCGTTCCCTCAAACGTTCTCGCTCCCTTTCTGACCTGTCCCTCGACCTGGACCGTTCCCTTTTACTGCTTCGACTCTTTTTCGACTTGTGGCGACTCGCGTTGGTGTGTCTTGTCGCTGGTGAACGCGACCTACTCTTGCTCCTACTTCGCTTCCTCCCCATTGTATTTTACTATTTTATAAAAGTCCCCTTCTTATATCGTCGCGTACACACCTTACTAACAAAAATGACCCAATTTCCTCTTATCTGAAGTCGCACACAAAAAATAATCAAAATGGAGGACTCGCAGAGTTCGTTTACTTTTTATAATCAATCAACAAAACTTGAGCTCAAATTGCCCCGCTCCAGCAGTTCAATGCTCGTTCCTTTCCCTTTTTACTTGGATTTTTTTTTATTTTCTGGAGAAAGTTCTACTTTTGACAACTTCTTATCCGTTAACTTTTTCCTGTAACAACTTTCGACTCACTATTCGTCTTTCTTTTGTACCGAAAAAGAACAACCCGACGCGACCGAAGAAATAATCGACTACCACATTTCCTCTCTTTTTCAGCAGTATGTGAACAAATCTAATAAGAACAAAACCACGACGCAAATAGCAAACCGTGTGGAAGTAAAACTGCAGCAGAAATTGGGAGTGTTTTTGAAGAAAGACGAACGAGTTTGATCGAGCAGAGGCCGAATAGTGAGTGAGAGGTGAGTGAATCTCAACTTTCCTCTACAGATAGAGCTGCTTGCTTCTTTCAGCATTAGTCACATTTTCATATGAATGGCGTACAAAATCTCGGCATTTATGTTAACTGTATGTTAATAACACTGGTACCCTTATCGAAATGGATGACATTTATCGTTAATTACGACGGGTTTGATAAGGTGAAAGGATAAAAGTTAACGGAAATTGGTCGTTAGTCGGAGTGGTGAAAGTTGTAGTTGGAGGAGGCGGGGAAAGTGCGACGATGCCCAACCAGGAAATCGCCATCATTTTCAAACCCTGGCAAAAATTAGTATCGCAGATTCCATCCATCCAATTTTTATTACGACAAGCTTTTGGACTGGAAAAAAAAAGTTTTTCGAAATTTTTGTAAAATAGTTTCAAAATTTTGAGGGTAAAAATAATAGTATTTTTTGAGGTTGTGGTGGTTTGTTTTGGTTTGGTTTGGTGGGTGCATGTTATTTGAGAGAGGAGTGAATGAAACTGAAAAGAAAAGCACTTGACAATACTAAATATAAATAAATCAACAATCATTATTACAGTTATATCAGATTGTACAAGGTTTGATATGATTTACGAGTAATTATTTACATAATAAGAATAACAATGGCCTTATGCTGACCTGACCTGAGAAGGAGAAGATATGAGATAAGATTCAATACATTTAATAACGTCAAGGGAGAAACTCGAGTCATCAAGCTAACAATAGTTCAAAATTGTAAAGTCACATAACATAACCTTATCACATCAATAAGAAGAAAGAAAGCACTGAAGAATCAATACTTGATTATTACCTTATGTTATTAGTGTGAAGGACAGGTCAGAGGTAAGTACAATAGGAGATTTGAGCTATTTTTGAGATTATTATTTTAAATGTACAAGACTTTAAAATTTGTGTGAAATCTTTCTCCAGTGCTCAAGAAGAGGGACATAACATAACACAATTGTTACATAACAAACCATCCAAAGCGAGAATAAAGAGTGATAAAACGAGAAGTATTCAGTTGAATCGTAGTAAATGTAAGTGTACAAATAGTATATGAATTTCGTCACAAGATTTGTTGGTTGGCACTACTAATAACAATACTTTCTTGATTTAATAGTTCAAGTGTTCTATATTGGTGAATAAATCACTGTTGAGAGAGCTGATATCATCCATTGTATTCAGCAGCATTTAAATATTTGTAAACTGTAAATATATACTAGGTAAGTAATGGTATTGTTGAATTTTAATTTAATTTTGACCTTTATAAACATGCTACAGTAATGTGTATAACTCTTTTGCAGATTCAAAAATGTTTTGGAGCAGCGCAACAACCTCTTCGAACATTGATCAAGTTCTTGACGATGCGGGTGTCACATTACAGAAAGTTCTCGAGCAGGATGAAGTTCTTCAAGAGTTACGAGCAATGAACAAAAAGTTGGTTGAATTTCTCTCCCGACCTGAAAGTCTGAACGGAATGATTGATCTAATCACCACCGAACCTTCACCCGACACGCCTCTTGCGTCCCAGTACAAACTTCCAAATGTGGTGAGCAGGAAAAACCAGTTAACCTTGCACGTCCAGTGTAGAAATGACATGAACTTTTACAGTATTTCTTGCACATTTTCCCTAGGCTTGCGAAATCCTCACTAGCGACAACTCCTTTATCGAAAAAGTCACCGGAGACAAACTCCACTTAGAAAAGCTCTTCTTCTTCTTTCGCGACAAACCCATTCCCATAAACCCCCTCCTCGCGTCGTATGTATGTCGCGTGCTGAGCGAAATTATAACCAGGAAACTAGAACAGAACTGGTACTCTTATCAGTTAAATCTCATCCAAATTATGGGATATCTCCAGGTAATTATATAATCTTGTGTACTACCAGATTTGTAAAATGTTATATACATATTTTTTTCTTCTTACTTTTAGTCTGAAGCCGGCGTGTTATCCTGGCTCTTAAATCATTTGGATTGCTCAGCCGTTTGCGAATTCTTTTTTAAACTTATGCTAAACGTGGAGGGACAGGATATGCGGAATTCGCTTTACGATTGGTTGGTAGAAAAAGAGAGGCTCATATTGAGGATTATGGAAAAGATGACGAGACACGAGTTAGAAGAGGTTCATGCCAATGTGTCACGACTAGTGGGGGATTTGCTTTACGCCTTCCAGGATGAGATAATCAACTCATCGCAAGACAGAAGTACAGAGTGTGACCCATTCTTGCTCGCCTTAAGGTATTCAAAGATATTATGCATTTGTGCTTAAATACTTCGCATCGCAAAATATATACACAATACACCAATCGAAATCTAATAATTTGAATTGTTTTCCAGGAGTCACGAGACTATTACAACCTTGCTAAACACGTTATTTACACCAGATGCCATATGTGAAATGTCGATAATGCACGGACTCGGTAAATTTAATTGCATAAAAATAGGCCAAAACATTTATTACCTTTAACTAAAAAAGGATAACAAGTTATTCTTTCTTGTTTCATTTATAGACCTCGTCCTCTCCCTCCTCGGAGTGACTCGAAGATCTCCTCGTCAATCCGGCCGAAACGACTCCTTGGACGAAAACAACGAAGGAATTATTTTATCCGAAGCCGTGAAAGGTGAACTCCTGGCAAGAATGCCCACCTTGTTGAACCTGCTCCAGTCTCCCGTAGATCCTAACCCACTCCCCATGTCTTACGGCCTCCTAGAGAAACCTGTGGGGTTGGGGAGACTCGCAATAGCGAAATTCATTGCTCACTTGTTTACTCTAAATGACGACGAGCTCAACATGGGGATGATTCAGTCTGGCGTGCTGTCCCAACTGCTCGAACTTTTTTGGACAAACCCCTGGAACAACTTTTTGCATCGGTATGTCTGCAAAATCATGATCTGCATCGCATTGTCCGCCCAACTATCGCCGGGTTCTGCAGCCTATCTTGTGGAAATGGGCGTATTTAAGAAAATTCTGGAAGTGTTTGAAAACAAGGAGCTCAAATGTGGCTTTAGAGGTAAGCCCAAACAACTATGAAATTTTGGTTAAATAGTTCTTAATTTGTTAAATATAGTTAAGTTAATTTGAAAATAATTTTATAATAATATGTACATGTGTGATTTACAGGTCATCTCGCTAAAGTGGCATCTGCCTGGGGCGAATCATCTACTGTAGAGACCGACGGCCCCAACATAATCAAAGACTTGATGCAAAAATTAGAGGAAACGGATCCGGACTTTCATGCGAAATGGGATGTATTTTATTCTGACACACTTGAAAATTACTTTTCTTCCGAGAAAGTCCTCCTCGCTGGTGTTCACCCGCCTGCGTCCGGCATCTTATCTTCGGGTGCAGGGGTTGCGCTGCCTTATGGAAATAATGACACGGACACTTCCTTCTCCACCGGGTCTGGTGCAATGCAATGGATGGGATTCACGACGGCATCAGACTGCAGAGATAGTATCATGAATGTCGATTTTGACACGGCAGATTCCCTCCTTAACCTGTCCATTGGAGGAGGCTGTGGGGATGACTCACCCTCCTCTAAAGCCAAATCCATGTTTGAAATGTTTTGCAATGACAAGACAAATTCTTTTGACGATGATGACGATGACGATGAGGATGACGACAGTAGAAAAAAGAATTCCTTCGACCTTAGCTCACCCGATAGCGACTCTCTCGAGGAGGAACATAATAAATGGACTGATCACGTGCATTCATCATCAACAAGGGGTGTTAACTTGAGTAACACTACAACTGCAGTTGGCGGTGGCGGCGGCTACGATGACGACATTTTCTCTATACCACCATCAGATCAAGGCACAGCGAAAAGTCCACCAATCTCTATTCCGGAAGGATTAGGAGTTGATCCTTGGTCAAATTTGGAACCATCAACATCGAATCCTGCTGGAGGAGCAGTAGGAGAAGGCGAGGAGGAGGACCCTTGGGGAAATCCTGACTTGCTTTTTAATTCTGCAGCTGCAAGTGGTGCTCTTGGCGAGGAACAAGATATACCTAACCCTCTTGCGCCATTTGAAAATACCCCTCCCGTCGTCATAGACTGGGCAAAGTTCGACCAGATTGTCCCTAAAGAAATCGGCCCAGAATGTATACCTTTGGATGATGGTAGTAGTAACATTAAAAATGGAGAACAGCCGGACGATGGCGATGAGTGGGCAAACTTCGAATCAGCACCTTTCACTCCAAAAAAGGAGGAAGAAAAAGTCGAGAAAACCGATGAAGAAAACAACCCTTCTTCCGCAGTAGTGTCAAATATTATAGTTGAAGTAGACGATGGGGATCAGATTGAAGTTGGTAGTATCGTGGACGTGGACGTCGTGGTAGACGTCGTCAAAGTAGAAGACGTTGTCCCTGAGGAGGATGTCCAGCAATTCCAGTCACCTACAGCCAAAGATGAAACTAAAACCGTCTCTTCTTCGCAACAACAGCAACAAGAAGTGTCTGCTACCAACTAACAAATAGCTGTGCTTAATGACAAGAAATTATTTATTGCTTTGTTTCGATAACGTCAGGTCAAGTATAGTAGGTCGAGGTAGTAGACAGGCATGATCCACCTAATTACTTACACCACCATCCGGATCGAACTGGACATCATAATTCGAAGCGTATCTTATCTTCTATATAATATATTTATAAAAATATATAAATCAACATCACCAGGGTCTCATAATTTTGATGAATGAAATTGAAACGGTGTGAAATAATGCTGAATGAATAATGGTTTCGTTTCGTTTTATTGTCTCAGTTTATATTATTATTATATTATATTATTATTATCGATTACTATCACGTACGTACAACAACCAATTACGACAACACACTTTTGTTTGTTTTTTCCTAATTCTAGTGAGTGATTACGTGATTATTAGAATCAATCAGTGATAAAATATTATATTCATTGATCCCCTGGTACTATTGAGTGCAGTAATTATTAAACCTGTAAGCAGCAGCAGCAGTTTAGTAGAGTTGAGTGATATGTACACGACATGCATTTGATTGCCTTAAAATTATTATTAAAAATAATTAAATGTTCGTATTTAATTGATGATGATTATTAATGTATTTGTGGGTGTGACTTTCACCCTTTTTGCCTTTCCATCGTGTGGGATTTTTTGTCTTGTCGACTTTAATGTTATTATTATGATTGCATTTTCCTCTGATCTTTATTGCGAGCATGTTATGTTACAAAGTGCGTGTTTTGTGTCTTTTATTAGTATGTCATGTAATTAAACAGATTGCAGAGATTGTTACAAAAAAAATTGAGTTTAGTTAACCATGTGCCCGAGAACTGAGCCTCTTCTTACTATTAAAAACTCTCGTCTTGTGAGTATCGCAAAATTATCATCATCCAAAAGAAAAAAAGTGTAGAATAGATTATACTGCTACTACTTATACTTAACTATATATATATCTATAGTATATATATGGTTTAGACATCGAGGAGAGTGGTAAGAATGAACAATAAACTGTGATTTGATTTTCCTTTATTGCTTCAAATATAAATATTCTGACATTGGAATAAATGTACAAAAATGAAAAATAAGGTGTGTCGTCCAAAGTTTATTTTCATGATTCGTGCATTTCATAATTTTATACAATGTGCTTTCACTGCTAGCTTGCGCTGCAATTATGTGGGGAACATGTGCGTGAGAATTCTCTAACTTTTATACAGATTTTTTAGGTGAAACATTATGAAACGGAATGTGAAAGTTGCATTCGTGGGATCAATCCCATCCTGCTTCGCAAGTGTGACATGGCCCATAACTTTCACCCAGGGGAATTCTTCGTCCACTCCAAATGTATACAGATTGTTTACTTTCTTTCACCAATTTTTCACTAGTTGATCTTTAAATGGAGAAATATGCCTGCAATTTAGGTCATCAAAGTTGAAACTGGTTCGGGTGGAACTCACTACCTTTCTCTGGTTGGGGGCAGTGGTGGTGGGCATTCCAGTCGAGATGGGGATAATGACCTGCTAAAAATTCACGCCAAACTGGGAGCTTCCCTCGGCCTTGGAGAAGGAGACGTCGTCACTGTCCAACCCCACTCGGGACCTTTCACTGAAATAAAAAATGCTCACGTCGTCTGCGCTTCGGCGGATGATTGGGAAATTTTGGTAATTTCAATGAGTATTTTACTTAATAAGGTTGAAATCCTAACCGACATGTGGTGGACAGGAATCCAATACAGACGCGGTAATTAATGGTTTACTAAACCAACTCCGAGTCGTCTATCTGGGCCAAAAGTTTCCCTTTTGGGTTACAAAATCTCTCCAAATTAACCTCAAGATTGAACTCCTGGACCCTCCTGTGACTCAATTTGGGATTTTAATGGACAATAGTGAAATCATTGTGCAGTCAATTTCATCTGTCGTCTCTCATCCGCTGTCTATGATGACCAAGAAACTTTTCAAATTGAGAATTCATCCAATTTCCATACCAGATTCGGTCCTCTCCACTTTCCCAACGTCTTCACTAGTGCTTAAAAATACAAGAAACTGCTTCGTTTTTCGAGAAAGTTTGACCAAACTGAACAAGACCTGTGATGACGATAGCCACGAATCTAATCAATGTTGCGATCCATATTTTCTGGCCGATTTATTACTTCCAAGCAATGTTAATGTAAAGGTGAAAGTTTTCCTGTTGGAATATTCTGAAATTAGTGCAAAACTATTGAAATATTTTTACGTCACGAATCCTCCCTGTGTTTACGTCCATCCTGAGCTAATCAGGGAGTTTGACATGGAGGTAAAGTCTTATATTTGGATAAAGGACTTGAAAGATGAAACTGGAGGAGACGATGTACCGTCGGGTAAATTATGCCAGCTTGGAAACACGGTGGATAGCTTTCTCCAAGATAAGAATCGCATCGTTGATAAGTGAGACAAACCCTGAAATCACATTTCTCATTTTTCCTAGTAAGCAAACTAATTTGCAATTTTATGTACATAATTAGAATATTTTCCTCCCTGCTTGACGAAAGTCAACTATTTGTTGAAGCATCGCTTTCACTCGGGAGTGAAAGTAGTCATCCATTCATCGGACCTAATAACGGGTCACTGCTTATTGAAGGTCTTATCAATTTTATGATAATCTCAAATTCCCCTTGTATAATTAATAATTTATTTCTCAGGTAAAATGGGAAGTGGAAAGAGTTGGATTACCACCACACTGTCCAAAAGAGTTGAAAGGTCCCCCTACTACGTTCACTGTGAATTCATATCCTGTTCTAAATGGAGGGGAAAAAAGCCAGAAACGATGGAGAAAGAACTCAGAGTCATATTGGAAGCTTGCGTCAGGTTGCAACCTGCACTTCTAGTGCTGGACGATCTCGATGTCATAGCTCCCGTGGGGTTATCGCAGCAGGAGAATCTGCAGGAACAGTTTCTTCATTTCAAGTAACCCCATTATGCTAATTGTCGAGTGTGATTCTTTATATAATTTTTTGCAATCAGAATTTGCGAGACGATACGAGAATCTCTGTTGGCATATAGTGGACAACATTTAACCGTTGTGGCCACCACGAAAAGTAAGGAAGCCCTTAACCCTTACTGGAAGTCTAGGCCGGGGTTCCATTTCTTTCACAAAACTATCGTCATTCCTCCACCAAATTCAGTAAAAAGCATAAAATACTTACAAGTTAATTCTTGATATACTTACTTGTTAAGTTTGCTTCTGTACGAATGACTACGTAGGTCGAGCGACTCTGCATTTTCGAAGAATGTCTTACTCGATATAAAGTCTCTGCACATCAAATATCCTCACTAATTAGTGATCCTCGTGTTCAGAATCTACTAAAGAATACTCACGACCTATATGCATCCCCTCGTTTTATTTCTACCATTGCTAAAAGATTTGCATCATCGCTCATTACACGAGACGGTCTAAATGAAACTGACGACTTCACAACTTTGGATAATTTCATATCTGACGAGATCAAATTTTACGACATGGAAGGGAACGTTGGCGAAAAGAGTGTAGTTCACGTCAAGTGGGAGAATGTTGGTGGACTACACAAAATTAAGCAAGATTTAGTGAAAATTCTTCAATGGCCAATTAAGGTACATAAATACATAATATGAGAATTAAGTCACTAATTTTTCTCGATGAGGATTTTATTAACGATGTTAATTATTCATCCTATCAGTACAAGAAATTTTTTGAAAATGCTCCGATAAAATTGCCCTCTGGAATTCTTCTGTACGGATACCCAGGCACTGGGAAAACGCTTCTTGGCCTGGCAATTCCTTCCTTAGTGCATACAAAATTCATCCACATTAAAGTACTTAAATCCCCATTACGTTTTCATTTACTCGTTATTATCACGCTATTTAATTTAACAATAGGGTCCAGAGCTATTGTCGAAATACATTGGAGCAAGTGAACAAGCGGTGCAGGACGTCTTCAAACGGTATTTTTACTTTGTAATAAATAATCTCTCTGAAATTGAACTTATTTTAGTTTTTAACATTCTAGAGCAAGAAATTCCAGCCCTTGTGTAATTTTCTTTGATGAATTCGACAGTCTTGTTCCACGGCAAGTATTTAAAATTGACATTTCATATTTATTTTTTACTCCTTTTACATTTTTCATATGGACAAGAATGGAATCTAGCTTTCTTTCATAATATCCCCGACACCTCAAATATAGAACAAGCGGCATGATCCACATACAAAAAAAAATCCTGCAACATTCTTCACGAACTGACATAGTTGACATGATTAATGAAGAAATTAACAATCAAAATGTGACCCAACTTAAAAACGTTCTTTTTTATGCATTGTCAAATCTCTCATACTGGACAATTGGTCCATCCAGAAAAGGACTTTAAGAATCCTCTGCACACAAAATACTGTATCCCCTCTTCTTCTCTTATCGATTGTCCCACATGATAATAAATAATGATTATGAAATTGAAGACAACAATATTCCACATTTTCACGATACCACAACCAACAAAGAAAAGGCAATGAAGCATTTCAGCTTTTAACATAGGACAGAGAAAGAAGATGATTGTTGTCGGAGCCATATTATTACGTGTGTGTGTGCATGCATGCATACTTCTTCCTAAGTAAAAAGGGTTGCATTCTCCAACCAACTATACCATTGTTGCCTTTTTGGTGGGTGATTGTTGGGGCTGGGAGTGTGAAGGTGAGAAGAAAGCAGTAGTGAATGGACACCTAATGAAGGAGGAGGGGCCTTCTCACCTCCATTATTCTCATTATCATTTATTATTTCACGTTTATTTTGGAATAAAAGTTCAAAACGAAATCAAGTATGAATTCGTGACGTCGTACGAAATGCGTTCTTGGATGCTTCACGAATCGAGTGTGGTCCAATTTTATGCAAAAGAAAGCAAAATTATTATGAGAAACGTGGGCCAAAATCTTGCAAATTACAAAAAATTCATGCATTTGCCGGTATTTTTTTCACCAAATTATTTATTATTAAACTGCTGCACAGTCGCATTAAATAAATCGGTTAGATGAGGAAGAGACCAACACACATTATTTACAAGGGAAAAAATCCACAAAAAAATCCCACGCCTTTGTTGATTGTTTGTCATTGTTGGTCCCACAAGAGAGCTGATTGTTGTGCGAGCTTCCATGTAAAATTTATAAATTCGGCCGGAGCATCGCATTGTTAAAGGCGTGATTGTTCCCATTGTACGCGGAGTAGATTGTCGCCTTGAAGTTAGTGTAGCCTTCTCTGTCTATTAATGAGAATTAAAAGGGTTTTGAGTTATGAGATGTGAAAAAGTCAAGAGGAAAATATTGAAAGGCAATCGTGGACCGTTTATAAATTGATAAAAGGAGAATATAATGAATGAATGGTGGTCAAATGAATGGGATTTATTAATAAAGAATTTCCTTTGTTGCTGGTGGAGCAGATATATTTTATGAATTTATGATCTGTGTAGGCAGATAAGTGGAGGAGAGAGAGAGAGAGATAACAACAACGAGGATGAGGATTGACACTCACTCCAAAATTATTCAAAACGATAATAATAATGGGATAACTGAACTGATAACGAAATAAATGAAATGTATAAGGAATATTATGGAAGTGGAGAAGGTTGTGTGCGTGTCGTTGTTTACGAGTATGTGGTATGAAATCTTAAGAGATGAATCTCAATCTCGCCATATTTTTTGACGGAAGGGATATTTATCATTGTTATCGGACTATTGTTCATGACCACTCTCTGATTGTGGCTGAGATTTTACGACTATATGTAAACCTATGTATGTTGTATGCACCTATAGTGGTTTAATTTCAAGAAAATTTGCTTGAGATGAAATTAATACAGGTTTTAATAATTTTTAGTCGTGGCCATGATTCTACCGGAGTGACGGATCGTGTCGTGAACCAATTTTTAGCTGAGATGGATGGAAGTAGGAATTTGCTCTAATTTCATGATTTTTTTAAAAGTATGTAAGCATATGTGCCAATTGTTCTACAAATGGTTTTGCTATTTATTCTAGTTGAGGGTGGATTAGGAAAGGGGGTATATTTAGTGGGGGCAACATCCCGTCCAGACCTTATAGATCCAGCCGTCCTCCGACCCGGCCGATTAGATAAGCATCTCTTCTTCGATCTACCCAATAAAGTTTGTACCCCACTAAAATGTGCATCATTGTGTTACTTGTAGTAATTGTGTACGCATTAATTTCATAGGAGGAACGGATTGAAATCCTGTCTCATCTCGGGGCTCAAGTGAATCTCCAACTTTCTCCAGAAACAAACTCGCTGGATTTGCTGGGAGAGGGGATGACCGGTTTGACTGGGGCGGATATCCACGCCCTTGTCTGCAATGCTCAACTCGCCGCAGTACAAAGATACCTAGGTATGGAATAACTATGTAACATGGAAAGTTTCTCTGTTTTTCTACTGCTGCTGGTTTGGCTTAGGATTAATAAGACCGACAAATAATGAATCAATATTTATTTTGCAACAACCCTTAATGAGAACAATAATCCTTTAATTAAGTACTTGTAATAATTATTATTTCTTTCTCAAGAGATTACAAATGGTTCATTATGAACTGAATGTAATGTGACGTGTGTGAATTATTGCCAGTCATTCATGTCGTCTCTTTAGTTTTGCCTCATTCTCCACTTCAAAAAATGAGTTGTATTTTAACTTTAACATGCATGGTGATGCTAGAATAATACACACTTCTCATCCTCAGTTCGTGCAATTAATTACGGAAAGTGACATGGCGATAATGATTTCCAAAATGTGTATGCAAATGAATGCCACCACGTTTATTATGTGGCTTAATTGCGGTTTGGTTGTTAGCAATTTTGTATTTACGTGTTTCCTGCTAACGGTGGTTTTGTTCGGTGAAATCTAATTTCTCCGTCCTTTTTTCCACTTGATTAGGGAAACTGGGAAGTTACTGGAATAATGAAGCCACTTCAGAAGAACAATGCCCCTCATCGGCTGAGCAGCTAGTGAATAAGGTGGATTAAATATTCTTTTTTTGCTATTCTGGGATTGACCGATACAGTTAGAATGGGTGATGAACTGTATGAATATTGATTGGATTACGTACCCTGATCGGACGGATGATGGATTGATGGAAATTATGGTCGGGCTGGAATTTCCAGAAATGTCAAAAGAGGGATTATGTAATGCTATTGTCTCACGTTTCTCCACTTTTGTACATAATCATCCATAATCTCAACAATTGTGTTTAGACCCCTTTATAATTAAGCTATGTACGATTTCTATACATATTTTGTTACACTTCTTGCATTATTAAATAATTTCCAGGATCTGACCCCAGCCGACATTCCGGTGAAAGTCGAAGACTTGGCCGACGCTCTGTCCGCCTTTCGGCCTTCACTTCATGGCGAAGAATTCACTCGGTTTCGAATCATGTAAGCAAATAACAACAGACAAAAGGATGTCTTATTTCCTGCATTGAATTGTAAAATTTTATACATTTTCTCTTTTAAAGCTACGAAACATTTGCCATGGGCGGTAGTGGAAGTGGAGACACACGCCAAATCACTGCTGGAAAAAGGGCAACGTCAGCTTAAAAATCAGTGAATAAAAAAGTTGGTCAATAATTTATGTCCTTTTTCTATCCTGCTTGGGAGGGAGTGAGGGAAAAAAGACTGCTGATTGTTGATTATGCTCAAGGGACTAAATTTTCAATTCAGTCTCGAAGAATCTTTTATTATCATGATAATTTATGAGAGTGACTGCTTTATAATAAGAAGCAGGCACAATTTACTCTATAAAACTCTACCTACAGAATATTGTGTACATATTTAGTATATACGACTTATTTGTTCAAATAGTTTTTATTTTCGCTGTGTACAATCTTCAACTTGAATGGTTGATTGTTGTGCATGTTGTCAAATAAAGTCGACTCTGCTCAAGTCTCAATGTTATATAAGCAATACTATTTATTAGTTTGCGGTTGGTTGGTTAATTTAGATTTGCATTTTTATTCGAAAACTTATCGAATCTCTTCTTCTTTCTCTCTAATATAATCCTGCGTTGGAATTTGATGCGAAAGTTTTTCACTTCTTCTTTCAATTCTGGCATCTCTTTTCTTATTTTTTTGTATTTTTGTCTGCATATATAATCCAAGTAGAAAGGAGAATTGAGAAAGTCTTTGCATGGACTTTGTCGGATTTATATTCATAAACTTTCAGCAATTCGAATAAAATAGATTTGTCAGCAAAAATGCTAATTTCGATTTGATAATAAGTTACGTACTGCGTAATTTCGAAACGATTCTAAAAATCGGCGAAAGTACATACTTTTTAAGGCTCTGTACCAGTAATTCACCAAGGTATTTAATTACCCTTACTACCCAAATTTCTTGGGACTGAAGCACGATAGCATGTTTTGGAAAAAAGTCGTTGGTGGTAAATTTATCAACATATTTTTTAATGAAAATATGATGTCACCCAGTACCACCAACTTCGCGAAAAAAATAAAACTGCCATTAATGTTTTAAAAATTTCAAAAGACGTTCACAATTTTTGGAGCATTTCGACGTTCATAATTCTTGTGCATAGCGGTAGAGAATAGCGTGGCGCAGATGGTATAATAGGTCATTTACCCTGATAAGCAATGGTGGACAGTTTTTCTCTCAGAAAAGTTTGCACTGACCCAATTACGCTCTCTTCTTTAAAAAATAGTAAAATTCTGGAAGTGTTCTGGAGTCTCTCACTGATTAATCCACCTCGGCTATAGTGTTGACCACAACCTCTAATTCAAAATTTCGTGCAAAATACGCTAATACCGACAGGAACGTCTTTTGAAAAGTTGCATCCGGCTAGTTGTCAGGTAGTATATAAGATTTATGTATTGAAAAAAAACTCGAATTTTCGAATTTTGAAACTTTGAATTCATCAAAATATTCGTATTCATAAGGGAATCTAAAGGTAATCAGCAAGTTAGGGCCTAGTTCGTATTTATTTTTCATTCACTTTTGACTTATTAATTTTTCCAAATGTGCTTCCCCCATATTTCCAGGGAGAGGGGGGGGAGGTTTCATATAATTTTAAAATTAATTGGGTAACTAAGGTCAAAAACATATTTGGGTGGTTAAAGTTGGTACAGAGCCAAGATTATTTGACACCTTATCACTGTATAAGGTTACGACAAATGCCCGAGTTACAAAATGAATTTTCGTTTTAAAATTGTCGTGGGTTACAATTTATTTTTTAAATATTTTGGCTGGAGAATTGGTTTTTCGCCCATGGGAGAAAAACCAATTTTGAAATAATTTTAAAAATGAATATTTTTTTGCAACTTGACCATTTGTCGCAACCGTTAAGGGAGAAGCGTTACCTAGATACTTAATGTCAAGCAATCGTGGTACAGAGCCTTAAAAAATAGGATTTTTTTCAGTATTATTTCCAATAGAAATTCCTAATAACGACATTGATTCTTAAAATATTTGCTGGCACCATTTATTGGAAAACTATTAATCACAATTATGAAGAATTTGTGACACTGTCACCCCATTCAGCCTTCATCATTCACCATTATTGTTATAAATGTCACTCTCCCCTCATTGTATACATATGTACAGCTATAGATCTATGTCATTGCATCATCATCACCTTGGCTTGGCCCCACATGCGGTGATATTATAGCTAAGAGGATGTCACTTTTCTCACCTGCTCTGTTAACAATTATTCTACTAAAAAATCCAGACACCACGTACATATGTACAGTAATCAAGCATGATTCTCACTGGTTAAAGAGGGAGGAGGATGAGATGAACAATGCTTAAAAAAAGTAGACACACATGGAATTGCACGTCGCTTAAATTCATTGTGTCCTCTCATTAAGGACACAAAGCCAGAATTGTATTGTGTGGTATTCCGACCTCAAGGATTCGACAGGGTTATTATTAATGATTCTATGGATTGTCAAGTCAAGCGAGGGGTCACCTCACTGAACTGCATTGTTGATGACACCTTTATCAGTCCTCTCCTACTTTCAGTCTTTCTTCACGTTCATATGTGTCAAAAATGATTACAAGTTTGGATGTCATGTTAAAATGGTGCAGGTGGATGTGTCCCTTCTTCCCAGAAGATGTCAAGATTCTGTCCCTCATAAGATGATGACTGGCAAAAAAAGCAAACTTTGCATCAAAAATGTGAGACTTGTGTCAAAAGTTTGGTTCAAATTGTGACGTTTTTTCGATTTCTCGTCTTTGCCAATCGTCAACTTGTTTGATATTCGTGACGTGTCTGACGTGAAGAAAAAGCCCATTCTGCGTCTACGATGTAACACGTCCTTTCTTCTTTTCTCCGTCTATTTTCCCATGCATTCTTCCCACACAATGATGTGTGCCTTCGAGTCTCTCTGTTTGAAATGGTGCTTCCACCCAAATGTTGTCTCCTTTGATGTTCCGATGCGAATACGGAATCTGTCCACAATTTGTAAATGTTCCTCTGAAAATTTGGGTGAAATTCGGGTAAATTCATGGATCTTGTTGTGAATATCAAATAGTTGAAATCCAGTCAAACTAAACTGAACCACTCGACTGAGTCGGCTTTTATTATTCCTTTCGTAACAATTGTTGAAGGATCGACGTGTTTCTTTTTACTGGGATTGACTCTAAAAAAACTGGGGGATTCCATTCTCATGGGAGAATTGTGACAGGGTTTTTTGAGTTGAAGATGTTTTCAAGAAATGGTTTTCTATATTTACATAACGGTGACTTTAATCGGATAGATTTACACTTTCTTCCTGTTTTTAAGAATATTTAAAAATGTTCTTACATAAGTATACAATTTGGTTTTAAAAATCTGCCCAAAAGTGTAAAACCCGTTATTCTAATCGAAACCCTGTCCCAACTTGATACTACACAATTTCATTCTTGGTTGGCCATACATGCCGAGATTCATCTCAAAATCCCAACTTTCCTCTGCCTTTACTTTCCTTTCCTGCCTGGTATTCATGAGTGGAGTGAGATTAGTGTTATTTTCACAGCTCTTGATCATCACCTTTGTAAAAGGATCACAATATTCACACCAACACAATGAAGGACACAATTGGCCATTCTTATCGAAACTATTTGGTATTCCGTCAACCAACTCGAGTCCCTTTTTTGGGTCCATTTTATTCATTCCTCTCTCTCTCCTTTCATCCATTCCTTCGCGTCCACTCATTTATTTATTTCTATCCCACTAACTTATCCATTACGACAGAAATAAAATAAAATCGGCCAAAAAAAGAAGAAGAAGAAAGCGCCCAAACGGTTTCAAATTCTGAAAGAAAAGTTATTTATATTATTTATTTTGGTTTTTATGCTCCTTTAAAGGAAGGCCACGAATAAAATTGAATGAATGAATAAATAACTTTGTAATAAAGTGCTGTTTTTGGCTTGGATGGCTTCATCATTGACATCATTGAGGAAAAGGGTAGTGTGTGTGGACAGACAGAAATAAAATAGGGATAAAATAAAAGTGAGCTCTGGAAGGGTGGTTGTGCCCCTTGAATGAAGGGTGAGAGGTTGGCATTGGAGTTAAAAGAGCATGAAATGCGGTTTATTTTACATCAAGCAGGGAAATGAGGGAGATCCAGATAAAAGTCCCCTCGGGGGAGTGATTATGTTTCATTCAGCTCGTACATAGTTTGATTTATACAGAGAGAGAAATACAAATACGACTAGAGAGAGAATTAAGAAATTGTTATATTTAAGGTAAAAATTTGGGAAAATTCAACAAAATTATGATAATTTTAAATGGTCAACATTTGCCCTTTAAAATCACTACGTTAAATATTTACTGTTATAAAATGTATGTACTGGCTTCAAAGTAAATAAGTTCGTGATCTGAGATGAGGGTAATCTTTCCCTTCCCACTTTCCATACCAAATCCATTTGTATGTATTGTATCGCATTTGTGAGATTATTTGTTGGTTTGGTTCATATTGATTGTACAAATTGAATAGACGCGTATACACACATAGCAATAATGGTCGGAAGGATGGTGGCATGATAACCTAAGAGTTTATTATATAAGCCGAAAGGAAGGGAGGAGGGGATCTCGTTCGCACCCAACTTTCAAACTTAATTGAGCATGAAATCTCTCAAAATTGAAATAAAATGAACTTTCTCTTTTCTCCACCACCACTTTCTCCCCGTCACCTGGCCACCTTAATACGAAATAAATGAAATTATATCCCCATTCCCGGCCTTAAATCGAATCTTGTCCTGTGTAACCTTCCAACCAAATAATGTCCAGAAGCTGAAGAGAACTTTACACATTTTCTTATCAGGCGCAGTCTCTTATTTTATTAAATGCTTCAACCAAACACAAAATGAAATAAAGTCGCCTCCAGCCACAGAAAAGGAGAAAGTGTTTGTGTAATTAGATTGGATTTTGGTGTGACCACTTACTGCCAACAAATTCTGTGTATTTCCACTTCCCATAATAATGGCGAAACAGTTTCCTGTACAACGAGATCATTTACGCTGGCTGCGCTTTCTAAACGAAATTCTAAATTACTTTGTCACTTTGAATACGAAGGGTTTTTCGATGAAATTTTCATTCTTGTGATGGTGTGGTGGGGGTTTTGGTGACGTCAAGAAGCATGATTTTTCTGTGATCCCTCCCTAGACGAGATTTCTATCTTTCTATAAATAGCTTAAATTAGGGTGGCAAATTGTGACCACGCCCAAAAAACAAGTGACAAAAATTCGTGTTTCGTGTAGCAAATTTTAAAGTTATTTTGTAACTAATTGATAAAAATTGAGTCAGTCAATCTGTCCAACTTTCATTAGTTTTTTAACCGACATGTCCAACTCTGCTGACCACAACTTACTCTGTCTCAACCCACCCCACATCTCAGCCTCAGGGATGTAAACCTAATCAATGAGAAATAAGTCGAATCAATTTCGTTTCGTCTGTTTATTGTCATTGTCACGAA